ACCTGTGACAATGCCGAGACTTCCCTGCCTACTAGTGATTCCATTCGCTGGACTTCTTCCTCTGTCAAATTGTCATACTCTTCTTCCGGCTCTTCCTCCGCATCCGAGTCTTGGGCATCCCGGAGTCGACGGACGCCCTCGGCAGTCTGTTCATATCCGGGAAACTTGGGTGGATCCGGGATTTTTTCCAACAAATGTGGCAACACCGCAAGTTCTAGCTTTCCTCGGAACCAACGGAAAAAGGGAGAACCCGCATTGGCGTTGTCAGTGACACGGCAAATGATACTCCAGGGACGTCCCCCGTACTTGGGCAAGAGCCGCGTCTCGCGATCGTCCAAACATAATGCCAGTTCATCGTATAGAGTTTGCCGTATCTTGGCACTGGGAACTTTGAATAGAATCTTGCGCTTTTCTCCTTTGGGAGGCTTTTTCATATCGGCTAGAGTGACAGTGCCCACAAACACTCGCTCTCCCGTTTCGGGACATGTCATGAATTTAGTAGCAGGAGGAGGTTGAGCTGCCTTTCTGGGAGGTGTAAACCTCTTTCGAGCAACTACTGGAGCAGGTTTCTTCTTGGCTGCAGCAGGAGCGGGTTTCTTTTTCTCCTTGAAGGAAGATGGAGCCGCCGCTCGCGTGGGACGGATCTTGTAAGGCTGGCACTTCACTAAAGTAGCAGCTTTGGCCTTGACTGGCTTCTTCTTCTCCTCCTTGAAAGAAGTTGGAGCAGCTGCTCTTGACTGAAATGAAAGATAATCATGTAAGAAAAAGAAAAAAGAAATCGCCATGTTAGTCTCACGTTGACACCGCCAGCTAGCGCTTGCCTCGGCGCGTCGTCGCCATGGTCGAGGATCGCTTATTGCGGCAAAATCCGAACATCGGCATCCGTCCATTTTAAAAACTTACCCTGCCTTTCGCCATGGTGCTCCCTTTTTCGGTTCGATACCCCCACAAAAATGGACTCCCCTAGTGGGATCAGTAATGCCAATAACGGTTTGATGCAGACGAGTGGAAGCCTCTTCACACCTTGCTTCTATCACAACAAACAACACACCGCCAATGAAGTTTTAGAAGGGAGGGGCGAAAATTGTGTGGCCTCGGCTTTTTGTGAGACAGGGAAAAATCTTAGAGAGCATACTGTACTAATAATCTTTTTAGAAGAAAAGATTTAGTACTCAATCTTGACAGCAAAATGAGTGCTAACTATGGCCAGAGAAAACTCCAAAGGCGTTGACTTGACAGAGGAATTCTCATCCATTATCACTGCTGCGCTTTTAAAAGAAGGCCAGCCCTCAAGCAAATACATCTGAACCCGCCAGAAGCACTCTCTTTGGAAAATGAGCAAATCCAAAAGAATTTTGGCAGAACCTTTAATTGCAAGCGCGGGGAACTAGCTAGGCGCACAGTTTGTATCAAAGGTACCGGTAGGTTCTTCGGGCTCTGCATTCCATTGTTTGTTCCTTCTAATATTTGGGAGTTGCAGTACCTCCATCCTCTTGGGAGCGCAAATTCTGGCAGTACTGGGCCTGAGTTTGGTCCTAGTAGCTAAGCTAAGGTTCGCACCTTCAGGAGATAAGCCTGGAATTGGTCCAGGCCAAGGCAGGGATTGACGCTGGGCATTGGTTCAGGTGTTGGTCCTGGCTTCGGGGCTCCGAGTGGGCCAGGCATTTGGAAGTTTGTTTAGACCGAGGTTGGATCACGGGGTGGTGCTTGGCACTGGTATGGGCGTAAACTCGGGAGCATTTTTGGTCCGCCCATGTGTAGACCTACACTGGAGATTGGGTGGCCCTGTAGATGGGGATGACTGGGGATAGCTAGTGTTGGCTGGGGCTGATGTTGGCGTGGGTGCAGGTGCAGGCGTAGGAGATTGGTTGTTGTGTGGGACTAGCTGGGCGTTGGGCCTGACGGTGCTAGCTGAGTTGAGCCGTTGGCTGACGCTTCCAGAATCGTGTCGACTTGTTTCGCTATCTACCGGTAGGTAGGCTCGAAAAGAAAAGTCTCAACCTTCTTGACATGGGCTCCAGATTCTTTGCTGGAATTGGCAACTTCCTGTTCGGACAACGTAGAGGAGGTCGTTTGGAACGATATCGTGCCTGAAGCATCACAAAGGATACTAACTAAATCGTAGCAAAGCCCACGATTCGATTGAATTCTAGTAATCCACTAGCGAGCTCGTCAAGCACGTCGAAACCTGCCCAGACTCTCGTTCGAGACGTCAGATTCGAACGACTCGAACTCTACAAACGGGCGGAAAGCCAGTGCTTCTTCCCATTCCAATAGAGTGGCTGCCAAAGTGGATTGATTTTTTGATTCGATTCTCGCCGTCACCAAACTGCGTGAGGCATCCATGGATGTCGTATCCTCAATTGGATGATAAATCCATGACAGCGTGAGCGGATGTTGCCGCCCTGGGATTGCTTCGTGTGAGTGGTTCTTGCTGCTCTTGCCGGATTTTCCAGAGGCCGGTACCACAAGAATTGTGGAATCCAAAGATTTCTGGAGGGGTTGTATTGTGGATTGTTGCTGTAGCGTTCAGTCCTGTAGTCGAAAGGATTCTTCATTTTCAACTCGACGTTTGAGTAATCTGGTACATCGTTTCATCAAGTGCTCAAAGGCGTCGGCGGGAGTGGGTTGCATATAAAACTGATCAATGCGATCGGGGAATTCAATTTGCAAGTCTTCGGATCCATAAGAAAAGGCATCGTATTCTTCTTTGGGCATGAAGGGACGTAGCAGATGCAGTACGACAAGCAATACCGATGGCATGCGCAAACATTTCACTTGTTTTCGTCGATAAGGGAGTGACGTGAGGAGCTCGTCCACGGATTTTAACTCGGCCTTGAAACACGCATTCTCCCAGCCAACATCATCGCATTCAAAGACTTGCCGAAAGCCCTCTCGGACGCTCGTGAGATCGGGTTGTGTACACAATATGGAATAGTAGATGGATCCAATGCTGCACCGAAAGTCTTTGGGGTTGTCCAAGAATCGCAGTGGAAAGTACTTGGCCAAGTCCATGACTAGCGCGTGCGATCCTCGTCCGTCATCATTGGGACATTCTTCTATCGAGAGCAACATTCCGGGACAGATGTCTTGTTGGCGTTGAAAAATGTCAATGCCTTCCTGAACGGTATCGTTAATGTTGTACTGCATGCGAAAGGCTTGTAGACACTGAGCTCGTTCCAGAGACCGACCCACATCATCTCGATCCACAATAGCAAAAATGGCAATCTGCATGTCACTAAAGACCTTTGCACAAATCTCATCGTCGTCTGCAAAGGCTTCTTTGATATCGAGAGCCCACTGCTTTTCTTGCGCCGTCAGTTCCATGGTGGGATCCACATCGGGCAATTTCCGCTTGCGACTGGTGGCAGAGCCTGCAGCAGAGTTATTATTCACAACCACAACATCTTCGAGGGCCATGGTAATCACAACAACAACAATTGAATGAAGAGCGGTAAGGATTCGACTTGACTCGACTCGGTCTATCTCACTAACTAACTATCTGTATTTGATAGAGAGACTCTGTTCCTTGAGGAGTCTATCAAAATGCAGCAGCAAAGCGAATGGGGGTTGACGGGGGTATTCGGTTCTTCTGGCATGAGTGATGATATCAAACAACTGCTATGGTAGATCTGAGTAGTGCCAGATAGGGATGACCGTCCGAAGATACAGCCAGATAGTCACGGCAGTTCAGGGGATGAACAGCGGGAGGAGAAGTTGACAGCTGCTCTAAAGCTTCGTCTGGTGTCACTGTTTCTTGAAATGTACTATTATTAATAGATTGATTAGACGAGTAGACCCAGTCTACAGGACTATTTGGTTCGGTTCGATTCGATTCGATTGAATTCGATTCGATTCTGCTGTTGCTACGTTGGTACGCACTGCTCAAAATGAGGTCATGAGTCACTCAGCTGTGATTGGGCGGCGACTGTTCATTGACTCATGCTTGAGCAGAGGGCTGCATACCGGTACCAATACACGAGAGCTACACGAGCCTGACCCACCCAGGTTTTGTCATGTTTGTGGAACACTGAGTTGAGTCACAGTGGATCCCACCTATTTTTTGGCAAGACACCCAAATTGTTTGGCAGCGATTAGCAATTGGCTCACAAATCTAAGTTTCCACAGCTTCAGCCCAGCCAAGCAACCAACAAAACTACAACCAAGCCCTTATAAATATGTTCATTGATACTACAACCTGCCCTGGATTCACCATCCGTGTCCTCAACAAGTCATTCATTGCTGAGAAGCCAAGCCATCGTGATGATATCATTTCTATGGTTGCCACAAGCTTTGCCGAAGGAGAGCCCTTTTGCAAGTTTCTAGGTATTACTGCAGATTTGCTCAAGGAGCACTTGGTGGAAGCACTGGTGGACAAGTGCATTGAAGACGAACTATCCTTGGTCTGCATGGATAACGAAACTGGCCGCATTGTAGCAGCCATGCTGAATGAAGACTTTTATGATACAATGAACCCTGATGAAGAAGCTAGTGAGGATCTTGCAAGAGACCTTCCTGAAGCCATTCCAATTTTTGCCCTTCTGGAGCTCTTGGACACTCAACTAGTAGGGGAAAAATTTGGCAGTGCTGCTGGAGTCAAGCAAAATGAGGTTCTTCATGCCTTCATGGGAGCCACTTCCAAGCAGTATTCTGGCAGAGGACTTGCCAGCCGTCTTCGCAAACTGACTGCAGACTATGCTCGAGAGAAGGGTTTTGCCTCTGTGGTTGTGGAGCCAACCAATCCAGCAACCCAGCACATTTGGACCAACAAATTGGGTGGCACCGTGGAGTACGACGTAGCGGCCAAGGATTTCATGATGCTCGATGGGAGCAAGCCATTTGCCAATGACACTCATTCTATGGAACGGCAATGCACCATTGTCATGTTGACTTTGTAAACAGTTAGTAGTTCCTACTATCATACGTCTAACATGTTAAAAAATACTACCTACCTACGTCAACTTTGGTTTGCTTATGATTGTCGTACTAGTATCTGTTGTGCCAGAGGAACAGTTTTGTGCAGTACGACGTACCGGTACTTGGTACCAGTACTGACTGCAACATGGGTCACAAGCAGTATGGACGTATGGACCCCTCCCACAAACGCCACCAGTGGCTAATAGCTAGACCTTCCGGTACCGTAGCTACAGTAGTCGTGGCAGATCCATGACACCGGTAACAAGAAGATCAAGCAAGCATCTGGCTGGTATTGTGGGGCTCCTGCAGTCGGCTGTTCCTGGCTAGTAACCACACAACCCGGGCTAATCGTTGTGTTCCTGCAAGCAATCTGTACCGGTACTAGCTAGCTAGTACAGTAGACAGTGCCGGACGCTGACTTCGATAGTGCGGTACAGTGCCTGGTATCGGTACATTACTCCATGTCCCGGTAGGCACCTGAATGGGCCCAGCTATTTTCCATGCAACCAAGAGGCGCAATGTACACCGAGAGAGGGCAAAGAAACTAAGGACATAGCTAATCTGGCATTGAGATCTACCCGAACAACTTTGAATGCATCTTTTCTCTTTTACTAGCTAGTATCAGTCCAACAGGCCAGGAGCTAGCTACCTGGTTAGATACGCTTAACGTGACGAATCCCCAACAAATCAAAGCATTGACGCATCGCCACCATGGTAGCATGACACAGCAACAGTCGACTCTTCATCTCGGGAACTCCCAACACTTTGCATTGCGTGACAAAGTCCGATGCCGCAATCGACACATTGTACACGTACTCGCAAATGTGGTACGGGAACAAATCGTCCAAGGTTGTTTCCAACACTTCGGCAAACAAGTGCAGTTCCTTGGCCAAGTTGCGCTCGGAGGGATGCTCTAGCACCGGTACTTCGCCCGCTTTGAGGAGTTCCTCGACATCCACTCCATGATCCGCCTTTGCCTTGGCACAAATACTCTCCAACCGGACACGCGCATAGAGCAAGTACACGGCCGTGTTGCCCTTGGTATCGAGCATTTGATCGTACGAGAACTTGTAGTTGGTAGTAGGATTTCGTCGCAAATCAAAGTACTTGACCGCCCCATATCCAATGGCTTCGGCCACTTCGTGCACTTCCGCTTCGGTAATATTAGCCTTGCCGTCGGTAATGCGCTGTCGCAACGAATCTTCCATGCGCTTGACGGCTTCGTCGAGCAAATCGACCAATCGGACGGTATCACCCGATCGCGTCTTGAATCGTTTGCCATCTTCGCCCATGACGGTACCAAACCCAATATGATCCAATCGTTGCCCACTGGTCAGCCACCCAATCTCGTCGGCCGCACCATAACACATTTCAAAATGCCCGCCTTGTGAAAAGTCGGTAATGACAATAATCCGCTGCGCCTTTAGTGTCTGCAATCGATATTTGAGTGCCGCCATGTCGGTCGAATCGTATCCATATCCACCATCGCTCTTTTGCAGCATCAACGGAATGGAATGTCCTGTGACAAAGACACACTTGGCACCACCCTCTTCAATCTTGACGAGTCCGGCTTGATCGAATTCTTGAATGACGGCAGGAATCTTGTCATTGTAAAAGGATTCTCCCTTTTCTTCGAGTGTGACATCCAATCGATTGTAGACCTTTTGAAATTCTTTGCGACTCACGTCACAGAGCATTTTCCAAATTTTGAGGCACTCCTTGTCTCCTGATTGGAGTGCAACGACATTGGTTTGTGCCGTCTTTTTGAATTCGGCCGATTCGTCGAATCGTTGTTTGGCATTTTTGTAAAAGACCGTCAAATCGGTAATGTTGGGCAATTCACCGCCATCGGCTTCTTGACCCACTTCGGGATATTCTTCCTTCAAGTATTGAATGAGCATGCCAAACTGAGTTCCCCAATCACCGACATGATTGGTTCTGTGGACGTGATGTCCGACAAATTCCAAGACCCGACAGACGGCTTCTCCAATAATAGTCGATCGCAAATGACCCACGTGCATTTCCTTGGCAATGTTGGGAGAGGAAAAGTCCACGACGCATTCGAACGTTTGAGGAATGGGGGGTTTGGGCAACACGCCCGATGCCAGCCACTTGATCAAATGCGATTGTAAGTAGGACTTGGTAATGGAACAGACGATAAAGCCCGGTCCTTGAATGGAAATGTTTTCAATCACCGCCAAATGGGTAGGATCGAGATGGTCGATAATCGCCTGTGCGACATCTTTGGGGGATTTGATCGTGGCGGGCATATTTCCACTCTTTTTCATGGCGGCAAACATGGGCATGGCAGATTGACACTGATAATCGCCGTGTTTGGCATTGGAACAATTCTTGACCATGGCATCGGGTAGCAAATCTTCATCTCCGTTGACAACTTTGAGTGCCGCTTGTTGGAAAATGGCCGTCAAGACGGGATTCAAAAGAGGATTGTCTGGATTGTAGGGGACGATTTTACTGACATTGGAGGCATCGTGCCATTGTTGGGCCAACGCTTTGGCGTGTGTGAGAGCAACCGCATGGGCTTTGCGGTAATTGTCCACGGCGGGTGGCACCGCGACGGCGGAATGTTTCTCCAAGAGTTCGTGGAGTGTCACCGCGACGACAACATCGGCGGTAGTATCCATGAGGCCGACCAAATGCACGGCAGGACCGGGTGGACCCGCCTTGTTGGCAATGGCTGCATCTAGATACGTGAGTGCGGCAGTGACTTGCTTGTCGTTTTTGGCCGTTCTCAAGACGGTACGTTCCCATTCGCACCATTCATCCACCAACAAATCAATCGATGGTACGCAGGGACTCATGGTAGTCGATCCATACCGCAACGCTTTGGCCATGGCATTGCCTCCTCCTCCAACGACACTGGCACCAAAGCACAGCACTGGATGGGTGGTGGACGCAAGAAAGAAATCCCCATCACCTGCCAGTTTCTTCACTTCGGATTTGCTGGCGGTCGACACCGAGACACCAAACAGTTGACTGGCAAATGCCACTTTCACCGTAGAAGAATCTCCGGCTTTGGCATGACCAATCTTCCAAGTCGGAGGTTCTTTCGGAGTTGCTGCTACTGGTGCCTTGGCGACTGCTGGTGCCTTGGCAGGAGCTGCTGCTGGCTTGGCATCTGCTGCTGGTGGCGCTTGGTTCGTTTGGTCGCCATCACCCTTTTTCTCGGCTTTTTTCGCATCCTTCTCGGCCTTTTTCGCCAGCTTTTTCAACTGGTTCTTCGAAAGGCCCTGCGGGTTGTTGGGATCTGGTTCTGCCATCTTTCGTTTCTTCTTGTTGTGTTGTTGTTGTCTCTTTTCCTTGTAGCCAACCTCCATCAAACGTGAGAGAGATGATGGTTGTGTTTGGATACAACAGGCCAACGAAAAAGCGTGGGGCTGTAAAAGATCCACGACGGAGAACAAGCAGACCAGAGAAAATCTTGACTAGCTAGACTAGAAATACGTTCGTTGGATTTAGATTAGTTTTGCTGTAAGGAAGGACCATTGCGGAACATATCCATAACGCACTCTGTGATGCAGGTACCGGTACATGCATATGCAGGCAATTTCTTGAGCTTTGTTTGAAAGCAGTTGGAGCCGTCCTCGAGGGCTCACAGTACAGCACCAGTACCGGCTTTGGTGCCGCGCTCGTCGTTGTATCTCTTTGTTGGAGACAAATAATCATCAAGATGGGCCATAGTGGAACATCCATAAAGTACAAACTGAGTTGCAGGAGCTTCGCACCTGGCTGCATATGGCTGCTGGCAATTTCTTGCTTGAGCTTCGTTTGCAAGCATGCACTACCGGTATGCTGGTCAAGACGATCTAGCACATGGCTGCCTATATAGAACTTTGGAGGATGCCTTCTCTTGTGTACGGTAGTAGCCTCCGAGGTCCTACATTTTCTGGTCACTTAGAGTACTATTACAGCCATCTGTGGCGTCAAATACATACAGTAATCATCATCACGCACATTACATGATGCTATTCGTTGGTTCTATTCTCTAGCCCATTCAAGGATTATTCCTCGTTATCGTGACCTCTCCAACATAAGCTTGATTCAGGTTTGGGGCACCGCCTCCCGATGTATCCGCTGGGTTGGTCCAATACGAAGCGCTAGCAGCGTTTCCTTCTCTGCTACGATCGTTCTTACTGTTACTGCCACTTTGACGATTTGGGCGAAGGTAGCCTGAGGAAGTACCAGCAGTGCTTGTAGAGGTAGTGGTAACACATGGAGTACCAGACTGAACGACGCTTCCATCAGGCCTCGTGATGGAAATGACTCCAGTACAGCCGTCTCCCAATTGATCGCCATTGGCTCCTACGTTCATGATGGGCTGTCCTCCTGTTACGGTGACCGTTCCTCCTGACGTTGTCGTCGTAGATGTTCCTGTGGTTGTGGAAGAAGAAGACGATTGACCATTCTGCTGTGTGACCGTGACCTGGCCAACCGTAACTTGGTTCAAATCAGGAGGACCGCCACCCGTACCGCCCGGTTGCACCCAGAGGCTAGGTTCACGATAGCCTCCGTATCCACCGTTGTTGGAACGCATGCTTTTCTTTCGAATTTGGATGTCTCGGCGTTCGTTTTGTTGAGGAGCCCTTCCTCGGATCTTTTTCGCCAGCGACGGCTGCGCCATCGCGAGGGCGACAACGAGGGAAAGCACAAGACAGAGTTTCATTTTCGACGATCGAGCGAGCGAACAATTCCAAGGGCAAGGTTGCTGAATGTATATTATGAGCGTGTTCTGCTGGTTTTCTGTCTGCATCTTGGCTTCATGGGTTCTTGCTGGAGGTCAAAGACTTCCGTACCGGCGACACAAATTTGGTGGATGTTGCATTTTTTGTCGACAGAGCTTCCTGGATGTGCCAAAAGCAAATTCTCGGGGAATATCCACTCCCAGCTACACTCCCGCAACAGAAACGGGCACGCGGCCCTTCAATCATGTTTGCCTTGCTCCCGAACCCATCCCACGGCCATGCACCAGTGATGTGGGAGGTGATCTTGAGTGTCTTGCCTATCCTTTGCCTGGATCTCTATTCAAATGGGTTCACTACTACATGCCGGTACAGTACTGCTGCATGATGAGCCTTTGTTGTGCGAAGAAGTAGAGGTTTAATTACCAATAAAGGAATTATTATGAAGCAGTGAAGTTTTTACCGGTCGGTGCGGAGACTGCAGCCAATCTATCAAATGATACCGGTACGGCCATTGGGCCTTTATTTTCATTACGCCAACTGCTGTGGTAACAATCCCAATTCTGCTCGGCTTCATTGGCACTCATCGCTCCCCTGAGGCAGCACTCAAGGTGATATCATCGCGTTGGCTGCCCCCCCCCCCCCTAGTAGCTAGCCTGTGAGCAACACTTTCGCTCAAGAACAAGAATGGTACATTGCCTGACCATTCTTAAAAAGTGTTGGTCCATCCAGTGTTGCTCGCCTCGTTGCGCGATATGACACCGTAACATCTGGGTTGGCCCCATTGCTAGCTAGCTAACCCCCGCATTCAATCGAGCTCAACAGGATTAAGGCTGTCCTTGTTGTCACGAGCAATGTGGCTGAATGGGTGAAGATGGCGTGAGACCGGTAGCTCAGAATCACAATCAAAGGTTAGTCTTTTACAATGAAACATGTAGTTGTTGTGCATTGTCCCAAGCACTTCCTTATAAAAAGGATTTGCGGTGGATGCACCGCACCTCTGAGAAGGACGACCGGATACTAGATTACCACTAGACTAGCTGGTGGCTATTAATAGCTTAGCTAGCGACTACTAGCTAGCTAGCAAATGTAGTAGGGATAGACCGACCAACTGGCTAGCAAGAGCAAGATTAGAGGGTGGTGACTGGGTGGCTGCCACCGCGAGCAGCTAACCATTTTGCTCTTCGGCCTTCGGGATCTTTCTCGAGTGTTGGCTTGTTGGTGTGGCGGCAAAAATACCCCATTTCATGAAATATAACGGCTGGATGTATCTTCCGGGGAACGAGGATGTCTCTTCCAGGATTATTACCGCCACACAAATGCCAGCTGCAAATCTTGCCTCCCACTGCCATTATTGACCTCGCTTGGGAACCCCAACACTGGCCTTTTGTAGTACAGTAGTAAAGCATTTGCGCCGACCCCGATTAGGTGGTGGTTATAATAAGAAAGACCCTACCATCGAATCTCCCTCTTGTGCTGGCTGACTGCCTCCGAGCTTGATAGTAGTAGTCGAGATAGTAGTCTTCCAGAAAAATCCGCCTCTATCCAGAGATACATCACATCAGTCACATCACAACCACAACTCACTAAAACCACAGGATGATGTCTCCAGTAAAGTTAGTGGCAATACTACTGGCAGGTCTCTGTTCCTTCACAGTCGGAGTGCGACGACATGAGGATTCGCCGGATGGTCATCTTCTGGCCGCCGATACGGTAGAGCGAGTAAAAGAGGCTCTGGCAGAAGGTGCCAATATCAATGTCCAAGACGAAGTGAACGGCCAGACTGCCGTGATGCGAGCCACACTGCACGGATGGACCAGTATTGTTGCATACTTGTTAGACCAAGGGGCGGATGTTAGCATTGGAGAGAAAGATGGGTATACGCCCCCTCATGGCGCCGGGTTTCAAGGCAGAGCCAAAATTATGTCCATTTTGAGAGACCACAATGTTGATGTCGTTTCCCCGGCGGAAAAGGACGGATTTACGCCATTTCATAGAGCATGTTGGGGAAGAGAAACTCGACATACAGAAACAATCCGCTATTTGTTAGAGGACCTGGGTGTAGATGCCAACTTGAAAGGGGGGCCAGACCAACAAACCTGTTTTCAAATGACCCCCAACGCCAAAACCAGAGCTCTGCTCGTACAGCATGGCGCCGGAAACGCAGAATTATAAAATCAAGCAAATCAAATCCAACCACGAACGAACGAACGAACGATTTCGTCAAACAAAACAAACAGTACAAAATGAATGAATGAAATCATGTCTCTTGCTGCATTTATATCCAGTCAGCCAATCGACCTGGCTGTCTCGTGCGATGCCAGCATTTTCCAAAATCTCTCAACCATCATCACAATTTCCACTACTAGCTAGTGGTAACCCCTCCCCCCTTCTGAGCACTTTTTGCTGCTATAGACGACAGCAAATGATGTTGCTCATTTCACAACAAACAATCTTGTGACTTTTTAACCGTTCTTCTAAAGTACAATAAACCCTGTTGTATATATCGAAAGGTCACTAACGAAGGCCTAGTCCCCGGGGAACCAGTACCGTAGTAACCTAGACGCCCAGAATAGCTTAGGAAGGGAGAGACGGGCAAATAATAGCATGACACTTTCTGGGTGCACTGCGATCAGCAAATCGCGGGGTTGGCTGCTTTCCCGCGGCGTACTAGTACGGTATAGGCGGGCCTAGTAGTACCTACGTACGGTACATGAATTGTCGATAGACACCTCAATAGAAGAAGGTACAATGCTACGGTACTGCACGGCCATCCTTCCAAAAACTGGATCCGAGCTGCGGCACCGACAACTCCTCACATAGTGCTGGTGTTGCGACAGCCGCAGTCGTAGTATCCACAAACAGGAACGAAATCGAATCGAATCACAGTTCCACGTTCTGCAGGCCATCGTTTAAACTGCGCCCTACTAGCCTCAAGCTTTGGAAGAGCTTCCGCAAGTATGTATGTTGCCTTATCTTTTATAAAAAAACTGTCACATCATGTTTGCAAGGTGGGAAATCCCAAAAGAACTCAACAGATGATAGTGTAGCGGTCGTTTCTTGGATGTTCCTTCAGCAGCTTGTGCGATCGTTGCATGCCGCACAGCACAGCATGTCTTTCATCATCTTGTGCCTCTTCAGCATCTTGAATGCTCTTTGCCAAAGCAGCATCATAATGATAGATGGCAAAATATGTTGTAGATACGGCCACCAAAAGAAAGAGTGCTGCATCCACAACTGCCGCCGCTCCCAAGAAAAGAACACGACCAGTATAGCAATACGGAGAATCTTGGTGGTACTCATGATACAGACGGTATCGGTTGTCATCGTCCATAAAATCCAAAAAGAGATTGTTTCCACACTCGGTAATCCTCTGGATTGCAATATAGAGAGCCTCAACAAAGGCAATGCAGGCTAGCACGGCGGCAGCATAGAGGCCACACTTTCTCATTTGGCTAGAAGTACACCAAGTTGCTTGTAGAATGGATACGATGGGAATAGCAAGAACCAGTGTAGGCCACCACATCCACGCAATGGTAGTTGCACTGATGGAAGCAATCCGTGCAGTTCGTAGAAAGGGATCCTTCCTGAAATGACTGAAACAGGTATTGGTAATCAAGCAAGTAAGTGTCAAAGCCAAACACAGCGCAGCACCCAACAAGCAAGAGGAGATGCTGATGAGGTAATCTTCTACTATCAATGAATGGCCCCAAGCCTTCATCCATACACCCACTTCCTGAAACTTACGCGCAAACACAATGCTTTGGATGATCCATGTTGGAATGGCTCGATTCTTCACAGCAGAAGTGTTCCATGGCACTTTCTCGAATGAATCATTCGATGCTTGGAATGGATGCGGTGCGCAGAAGGACAATACTCGCTTCTTTGCCTCTCGCGGATTTTCGAGGCAAACACTATTTCCAGAGCTATTTTCGGTACGTACTGCCACCAACCCTCTGCCTCTCATCAAAGTTGACACTTTCATCGGAATCACGTTTCATGGTTGGCGGGCACTTACGGTACCGGACCTGGATGCGGGGGACGTGATAGAAGTTCCTGTTGCTGTGGTACCTCTCACGGAATGTTGCTGTGGTACCGATCACGGAAAGGACCATTGGCTCGATCAATCAGCTAGTAGTCTAGTCCTGAATTGCGCCTGTTCTTTTGCCTAAATCTCTGCCGGCTGCCGTACATGTGGATACCGCAACTTCCCCACGTACCGGTGCCACTCTGACTAGCTGCTAGCTTTACCGGTATCTACATGTAGCTAAAAGGATGGCTTCATGCCATGGCCAAAAGTGTCAAAATGCAACCACTCCGATCCGAAAACTTCCATTCAGTACAGAGAAAAGAAAACCTGCGGCAGGATACCTAATAGAAGAGAAGAGGAGGAGGGAGGAGGGGGGGGGTTCTTAGCTATAGAATAGATGTCCTCCTGGTCACTGGCAAAGTATTTCATGAGCTCTGCTTTCCTGTTGGCACTTACGGTACCGGACCTGATGCAGGTCACGTGATATAAGTTCATGGCTGTTGTTGTGATACCGATCATGGAAAGGATCAACGATATTAGCTTGCTTGATCAATCAGCTAGCTAGCAAGTCCTGCATTTCGCCTCTTTTCCCCGTCAGCCTGAATCGCTTCCGTAGATCACTTCCCTACGCACCGGTATACCACCGATGCCACTCCAGTTTAGACAGCGACAGACTCAGGTCATTGCAGGCTCGGAGCGAACCTGGAATTAAGCAAGGCTAATTCAAGCAAATGAAGCACTAACATTATGTACCTGAATGTGTTGAAAGGAGAATCTCAGAGATAACTCAAGTAGTAGAATTTGTGATTTCCAAAGATCCACCAGCTTCAACCAACACGACAATTATGAGCTCAGAGAAGGCCTCAAAAGCAACCGGATCCCAAGAATACAACACTGTTTGGTTGGTGCCTGTCAGAGATATCCAGTCAGCGGCCAACCCGTTTTTATATCTGTCAGATACAACCAGTCTGTACCTTTTGTTGGGGCTGACTGAGAAGAGAGAGGAGTAAAGAATCCATTGATACCCCACTGGACCACCTGATTCCAATGTGTCCCAAATACCTGTCACATTGGTTTCCGTCTGCCACTCCCATGATATGCCCCATCGCCAAAGAGCTGTTTGGATGTTTAGTATGACAGCAGCGTTTGTGGTTGGAAATTGTCCAGGCCAATCAGCTTCTGTGAGACCAACACAGGTGGAAACCGGAGGAGTTTCATTTAGGGAACAATCACACCATAGAAAAGAACAAAGATGCACTGGGACACTTCCTGAAAACTGATTCCCATATAGCCTCAATCCCATCGATTCATTCAGTTGGCTGGGCAGCATTCCTGTCAGGTTATTGTTGTGAAGAAGCAGAGATGTCAAAGATGTCATAACACCAATTTCAGTTGGAAGTGTGCTCGCAAACTGATTGTCATGAAGGTGAAGCTCTCGCAACGATGTCACGAGACAAAGCTCCGTGGGCACTGGACCAGATAACTGATTACCAGAAAGATAAAGCTGAGCAAATGAGGCCAGGAGCCCAAGCTCGGAGGGAACTGTCCCCGTCAAGTGATTTTCTTTCAGCCTGAGCCATTTCAAAGTCGTCCAAAGGCCAAGCTCGGAGGGGATTTCACCGGTGAGCTGATTGTGATCTAACATCAGTGAAGTCAAAGCAGTGAGTGCTCCAAACTCAGACACAATGAGTCCAGTCAAATGATTGGAGTAAAGAATGAGGAACTCCATTGAGGTCAGGAGCGCAAGCTCTGAAGGAATCAGACCAGACAACTGATTTCCAAAAAGATGAAGTTGTTCCAATGATGTCAGGATCCCAAGCTCTGAAGGCACTTGACCTGTCAACTGATTACTTTGAAGCCCAAGGCCGGTCAGTGACGTCAGCAGCGAAACCTCAGAAGGAACTTGACCGGTCAATTGATTGTTCTGCAAGATGAGTCTTTTCAATGGTTTCAATAGTCCAACTTCAGAAGGAATTTCGCCAGTAAACCCAAAAAAATTCAATTGCAAAGATGTCAATGAAGTCATCTTGTAAAGTTCTGTTGGTAACATACCGGTAGATGAAATTGATCCATTGATGTCATTGCTCAACACAGATGAAAAATGCACAAGGTGGCAAAACTGGGGTAAGACCAGAGAGCTGCAATCCCTGCAGAAAGAGACTTGTAAATTTTCCTTGGCTGTTGCAGGGAGGAAAATATGGAACACCCTCATCTCTAAAATCTCTGAATATCCCATTTTCCAAAAATCCAAACCCACTGGAGAACCAGTCACACTCTTCGACTGTGTCATCCATCGATCCAGAACCCTTTATCAAAGGATGCCAACTTTCTCCATGAAAAGTATAGAAAAAAGTAGCCAGGGCAAACAGTTGTGTCTTTCTCCATTCAGGCAAGTTTGTGATGTTTCGATGATTGTCTAGCCATTGCCATGCTCTCCACTGCGGAGTCTTGCTGCCATCGTTGATGCTTGCCAAAGTGGTTTCTGGTAGGCCATCCAACAGCAAGTCTAGAGCTCCAGTGGGTGCAGATGATGGTACTTCCGATGGCGTCATGGAGCCATAAACCGTTGGAACCTCTGTTGACTCGAGGACAACTACCTCTGGCTCCTTGTTCTTTTGGGTTCCCACAACAAATCCCACAATAGTGGCAGCAACCAGCAACAACCAAAGAAGTACTGCCAAGAAAGTTTTCTCTTGCTGCTTCCTTTGGAGTGCACGATACTGATGGGTTGATTCCAGATCAACAGGATTGGCATGCATCAAATCAATGGTATGATCCTCTACGGCATTGGCCTGTACCAACCCTTCATTATTTGTCAATAACATCTGCAGCGCAGTACCAACACTGGAGTCTTCTGGCCCGCTATCATCATCAGTGCCCGAAATAGCACCAAGAAGGCCATAGTTGAAGTTGGGGTTTCGTTGCATCTGTTGTCCTGGTGCTCCCACGAACGCACCTGGCTGAGATTGTGGATGCATCTGGGTCGTTCGGTACAAGCCAGCTTGCGGGACAGCATCCACTGCTGTGCGGGGCTCTACCGAGTTTTCTGGTGCACTAAGTTGCTGTTCCCTCACAAGAGCATCTTTTGGTGCATTGGATGGAACATCATCCACAGTGCCTGCATTAGCTGCCTGTCCCATTTTCTCCATTTTGGCAGCTTCATGGATTTCTGTGGCAATTTGCATGAGGTTCTCCCTGTTATCATCTGTGTTTGGTGTTCCTTCATGGAGATCTTCTTTGACATTGCGACGTTCCGCGACTGCCAAATTGGCCTGACCAGCCACAATTCCCAAGATTTCTTCTTCTTTGGACTCACTTGTTGCTTCTTCTGGACAGCGATCTTGTTTTCCTTTCGAATGACGTCCTTCTTCCAATTGGCCGCTTCTTCGTCGTCGTCTTGACAGAATTGCTCGGCTTGGATTTGAGCCGCTTCCGCCTCGGCTCTCTTGAGAAGAGCATCCCGTACCGATGGATCGAAGGCGTCTTCTTGTTGGCCACCGTTTTCATTACCACTGCCACAAGATTCCTCCTCCTCCTCCTTACAGCTGGTATCAACCTCTTCTTTCATGGTGATCGATGGATGGATACAAGCAAGGATGGATAGATAGATAGAAGATAGATACCGGAAGATAATGGAGAAGTGAATGACCTCGTGTCCTCTTCTAAGAGTGCGCCGCGGAAACACTGCGGAAACCACGTGCAGCGTTACGGATCGGTGGATTACGGTCATCTTCTTGCCACCACCCCTTTTCTCTGCTCCTCTTTTCTTTTGAGGGGACTATCTACTCCTGCAAGCGAAGCAGCCATTAGTCTAGCTGTGCTTGTTGAGAACCCAAATATAATGCGATGCGAACCCTTCTCAAAAGAGGGTTGTCAACTCTTCGCAAGGGTGCATCACTCCACGGAAAAGCATGCGAAAGCTGGTGTCATGATGCGTCTTGAAGGGCCATTCCAAAGATCTTTCTCACTATTGTACTTGCTTGCTCCCACAGAAAAACAACCCTTCACTCACTTCTCTTGCTACTGAATCTTCTTTGAGGTGTCATCATTATTATTGTATTGGGATCCTCATCATTCTGCTCAGTGAATTTCAATCCATCCATCAATTTTGAAGAAGAACAGAACCAACCATGAAGCTTTCTCTGTTGACGTTGCTTGTGTGGAGCTCTTGCGTTTCGGCATTTGTGACTCTACCTACTACCACCGTGACTCCTCGTGTCATTCTCCATCAAGCCAGTATCACTGCGGCCGAATCTCCCGCCCAAGCGGTAGTGTCCAATTTGTTGGACAATTTGTTGACGGAACAAGACACGAACCAGTGCATTAAATTGTTGCTGCATTCCTCGACGCACACGTGGAGGAGCAAAATCTACGATGCCGTGGGCGCACCGTCTTCGGCGGACGAAACCAAGGTGGCCACGTCCATTGCCAATGCCATGGCAAAACCCGACAATCAATTTGCTCTCTTGTTGGGAAAAGCCAAAGAGACGTACGTGGCGGATTTCCCCACGGAAGCCGTGGAAACGGGAGGGGAAGGAAAATGTTGGTTGGAATGTCGACTTTATGACAAAAACAACGACGGTGAATTGTTGGTTGTGTCGGGATGGGATATGCAGCAAAATCCAGTGAATGGAGAGTGGCTCATTGATCGAATTGATTGGCAGGATTTCCGAGAGGCATTTTATCCTGGTCTGGGACGAGAAGAATGGGCAAGAGCATTCGTCTAGCTAACTAAAATGGTATCTTAAACGTATTTATTCATCAGTGGACATTCAATTATAGCGGTTACATGTACACGACAACAACAAACGTAATGAGGAGAAGCATTTTTAAACATGGATCCGACGTTTGCACTGCGACTGTCTGTCCTTCGTGCCACAATCTAAAGTTTGTTGCATGCCTGATTGATACGGTCATGGTGGCAAGTTTGACTGGTTCATTTTTCTTGTATCTGAAATCGGACTTTTGACTGTCAAAACCATTTTCCTCGCAGCGTTGCTATGGCATTTCCTGGAGTTTCCATCAGTAATAGCTTTCGAGGATGGATCCATGCCATTCATGTCTCGGAGTGCCGGACCCTTGTCACGTGAATCTGCAAGCACTCGAATATTTTTGCTAGATTGCTCGAATCGTCTTGTCGTGCCGTAGTGCTGAACCTTGTCATTCGTCGGTAGCTGCCTCTGTTTCTCGTGACGCTCTTCCCATTGCTCAGATTGCTTTCTGTAGTTTCCTCCCTTCCGGTTTTACGGTTCCTCGCTCCTTTCCGTGTGTTTTGGACTCATCCATGACTCAAATCTCATCACTCGTGTCTGAAAAAGATCCACACATGACAAAACGCCCCAAGATCTTGGCACAGTTGCATGCTTGGATGAAAGTGTTCCTGCTGTCCTGCCTCCAATCCATCATGCTATCGACCATGTCCACTTCCTACCGTCGACCCTCCGACATGGTGGTGGCCGTGTTTGTGCTGATTTCAGTGTTGCTGTTGGCAGCCTCTGCTTCCACTGAAGATGAAAAACCGGGCCACATTCGCCAGCACATCGATCCTTCTCCTTTTGAGCAAGACGACTTTGATCCCAACGTGACCGAGTATGCGTTTGATGCCGTCGTGGACCATTTTAATTATCGTCCTACTCTGGAAGCTACGTTTGCGTTGCGCTACTTTGTGAACGATCAGTACTATGCCAACCGTAGCAGTCCGGTACTGTTCTACGCCGGCAATGAAGCCGATATTCTCCAATTTGTCAAGAATAGTGGATTTCTATGGGAAGCCGCGCAACAACTGGGAGCGCTGATTGTCTTTGCCGAGCATCGGTACTATGGCGAGTCGTTTCCATTGAGTGGTAATGGCAACAATAAAAAGAACTACACGGCATCATTGTCGCCCCAGAACATTTCTTATTTGACCGTCGAACAGGCCATGGCGGACTACAATACACTTCTGCAGCATATTCGAAGTAAATGGAACATGACACGCGATGCAGCCTTTATCGTCACGGGGGGTTCGTACGGTGGAAATTTGGCACTGTGGTTGCGCCTCAAAAATCCCAATCTGTGGGCGGGTGCGCTTGCGAGTTCGGCCACTCCTCTCAAACACTTGTTGCGAGACTCCAATGCGTTCAATCGCATTGTCGCGGATGTCTATGGCAATGTTTCCACAAAATGCCCCGAAATGATCCGATCGGGATGGAAGGAGCTGCAAGAAAAATCGACAAGCGATCAGGGTCGAAGCGACATTCAACAAGAAATGAAATTGTGTTCTGTGCCCAACGATAATCCGGATCGAATTGTGGACACGATTCACGGATATGTCGCGGGAGCTTTGGAAACCATGGTGCAATATGGGTACCCGTATCCAACTCAATTCTACAATCCCGTGCCGGGCTATCCCTTCAAGGTAGCGTGTGAGAACATGTTACAGCAGTCTACGGGAGTGGGAGCCCTGAAAGCTGCGGCGCAAGTCTACTACAATACCAGCGGGCAAGCCGGTCCGTGTTTTGATTGGTTTCCGTCGTCGTCACAAGACAACAACAATGATCAAAACCACGCAAACCAATTGCCACCGCCATTATCATTTTGGAATCGAATCGGTCAATTGGACCGTGCTATTGCTACTACTACTCCTGTTGGTACTACTACTAACGTCGCAGACGACTACACTGGCATTGCCTGGGGATACCAGTGCTGTACCGAAGTGTACCAACCAATGCCCACCAATGGAATTACAGACTTTGAACTGCCCTACACACCCAACCAGAAAGCCTACTTTGAACAGTGTCAACGTCGGTGGGATGGAGTCACACCGCGTCCCAACTGGGAAGAAATGACTTTTTGGAGTGACAATATTGCCGCTGGAAGTAACATTTTTCTATCCAGTGGACAATTGGATCCTTGGAGGGCGGCGGGAATTCAGTCGTTACCGACAGGAATAGCCGACGAACAGAGCATTATCGTTCGCATTATTGAACACGGGGCGCATCATCTCGACTTGAGAGTATCGCATCCCTTGGATCCACCCTCGGTGATACAAGTACGGAAAGAAGAATTGCAAGCCATGCGACAATGGATCCGGCAATGGCAGGAACTGTATCCGGCATCCATGTCGTCCAAGTCGTCATCATCAGCTAGCTTTCTAAGGCATAGCTAGCTAGGCTCTGTGTGTACTTTGTAGCTAGAAGCTGCGTAGTGCAACTTGCGTGGCTGACTTGATTTTATAAGATGGGGAGCGACTGTGAGGATTCACCATACCGGTAGTACAAGCTGCCTTGGCGGCCCTGCAGTACATTCCAAGAGACTAACAAGGTATCAAAAGATGCAAGGCATTCGTCGACTGCGTTACGGATGAACATTCTAGTACAAGGGTCTGCTAATGATAAGGTATCAAAAGATGCAAGGCAACATTCCAACGCGTTTAGCAATCTAATACGGCTGCTGGTCTGCCTGCCAATGATATGCGGCTTGACTGCTCTCTGGAGTAGCCTGCCATATCGTACACCAGCACCTGCAGTATTCGCCTATTCTATTCGGTCTACTATTTATTCTAGCTACTAAACTACATGGACAGCGGGTTGGTTACCACTGCTGTGGCATTCTTGTGACTTTTTGCCTGCTTTCTCGGTGGTACCAGTTCTCTGCTGCGTCTTGACCACGCAGCCAGAATGCACGATTGTAACCTTTAGAGTGGGAGCTCTACTACATGACATTGTAATACCCTACTGTAATTGCAGGCAGCTGTAGGCAACTATGCAGGTACGTGGACATCTGAAACAAGATCTGGCGAGCAACCCCAAAGAAGCTTTCAGCCACCATCCAGAGTCCTCCCAGTTCTTACGAATCAAGGTTGATCGAGTTGGATCGTGTCGTAGATCATGCGCTTTCACACCTTGTTCACGGTTGTTCCTGGCAGTCAACTTGAAGGAGTTTGTTCCCTTGTGCCATTCTCAAATCGTGTCAAATCTAACTCAAGTCAGTGTTATAAAATACCCACTTTGACTTAAAAGACCTCTTATTAAATATTAATAAAACGCTAAAATATGCGCTGGCGTGTCTGGGCACTGTGAAGTTTTTCACCCCTTTGGTAGTGGAAGCGCCTCAAGGCTGCAGAGCAACCTTCTAGCAACCAAAATTGTGGTACATGTACCATCCAGCTTTCGCCCATGCAACCCCAGTGAGCAGTACTGATGAGCCCTCAATGGGCGAAAAAGTGCCAACAACCATTGATGTTTAACACCAATGGTGTGTGTGAATGCAATCGATATAATTCATAGAAATAGTACCACAGAGTCAACCCATCAAGCCACAGTTCTGTTGCCTCGTGCCACTCGGCACCAGAACTCCAGCCTGAAGGCTTGTCTCTGTCAATCCCAGTAAATTATATTTAGAATACTCACTTTTTGCTGCAATTGATAAAAGCATTCTTATCAAGCATTACACGCACCGGTAGCCACCGGTACATACCACCAAATCCCACGTTGCTTGATGGCATTCCTGCCGAAAGACAAGTAAAGCTCTTCTCCTTGCATTGAGAACACAATTTTAATTCCCTACGGATACAAGTTACCTACTAGAGACCACCATCATCACAACCACAACACACTACAATCATGATTGCTCAACAAAGACCCCATGTACATGTAGCAACTCGCAAGGCAACAAAGACCATGAACAAGTCCGTTGCATGGAAAAGACCAAGGACAAAAAAGTCCGTCAGATTTGCCAATACTCGCGCTGTCGTTACACTGAGCCCCGAAAAGGAAGCCGACAGCACATGGTACGCTCATCAAGAGTACCGATCCATGAAGGATGTTTGCAAACAAGACGTGGTGGCATACGCCCGTGCTAGAAAATCTGGCACCAAGTCTCTGTTCGATGCTAGTCAGAATAGCGTGAGAGGCTTGGAGAACCTCTTCCCACCAAACAAGCGAAGATATGACATGCTCAAGAAGCAACGCATGAGTGCCATTCTCGGGCATCAGCACCAACAAAAGTCTTGCGGCTTCAAAGATCCTGCTTCCCTGGCATTTTTGTCAGAGCTCTTCTCCCGGGGGGCTCGGGAGAGAGCCATTGAATTGGCAAGAAGAGATTCCATGGTTTGGTTCAGCCCTTAGTCTTGCAAAGTTGCAAGCAAACCATACAACGCATACAAATATACTGTAATACTAATACTGTACAATATCATCCCTCATTGATTCAAACCTATCCTAGTTCACAGCCATCATGTACGGGTGGTCAATGGAACTGGAAAGGGCTCCCCACATCAACCCATTGCTGGGCATTAGTCCCTAGCCCTCCTCCTTATTGGATTCTTGCTTGCTTTGGTTTAGTATGTGTCGCTCTCCTCGCAGTTCCGGTGTCACCGATCTGTCATGCCGCCCCTCATTCTTAGGTGCATTCACAATGGGCTCGGTGCATGCTACTTATAGTCTGCTGCGCGGACTATTTACAACATGTAGCTAGATGCTTCATACTTGATTGCGCTGCTCTTCCCGAACTATTACAGTGTACTGCACATGCCAGCCAGAGTGTATCCAAGGGACAATTGGGTGGGTGAGTCTTCCTCGACTCGCAGCCACTGGCTCAGCCGTCCACACTCTACCAGAGATGGGCAGTTCACTAGGACTAACTGAGTACGCCTATGTAGTACAGCTCATTGTGCAGCATTGTCGAAATGATGGTACTAGTGCTGGAGTTGGGGATCAGTACTGGATAGGTGCTATCTAGTGCACCAACCCAGAACTGTTGGGGACCAACACTGGACTGGGCAGCCAGGGTGGGATGGTGGGTATCTCGCCACAGCTCATGGTCGTCTTCCTTTGTTGGCAGCTCAAAGCAATGAGCGGAGGTATATTGGCTCTGGATGGGCTCCTTCTGGTCACCGTCCTGGAGCCCGAGAATATGACGGAGCATGTGTGAGTCCTCTCTTTGTCAATTGTCTGAGTGGCTGACTCGCCACTCAGAAACTCAGTCAAGCCAAGCCAAGTAAGTCAAGTCGAGTCGAGTCAATAGTAAGTCAAGCCAAGTCCTCGCCTCGGGAGAGGGAGAGGTGTCCAGGTTGTCCTTTAGAAATCAGGATGACAGTACAGTACGGTACCGGTAGTCTAGTTGAATGTATGGGTACGGTATCTTCCGGTTGCTTCTGTTGCACCAAGGAATAAGTACCTTGCATTGCATAGCTCCTTCGACCGGCAATCAAGTACAGAGAATCTCCAAGCTGGCTGGCTAGGCAGAGGAGCTATGTCAGGCCCAAGAACAAGCTAGCGGACAAGAACTCGCTTTGGCCAGGATCGATATTCGCAGTCAGCCACAGCCTCACTGTTCCGCATCCGCCTTCTAAGGCTCTACCTGGCAAAGGTTCCGAATCAATCATATTGATTTCTGGGATGGACAAACTGATGCCAAATGTACCGAGCTGCAGCACGTCATCCAATCATCGTGAGTCGGAGGGCGACAAGAAAGGAATCAACCCCCTGCCCCGAAGCAAGTCTTGCAGGGCCGGGATCGGAGGATATGGTACATGTAGTCTCTGTGCTTCCCGGTTCTTTATTTTGTCAAGTAAATCACAGGCCAGTCTTTGGACTTTGGGTAACTATCATTGGTAGTAGGCAGCTGCCTTGCTACCGGTACTACAAGTAGAAAAACTCAAGATCCTAGAAAGGCCAAAGATCACGCACAGGTACCGCTCAACGACCGTGGTTTGCACTGACAGAGCCTCCACAAATACGAAGGCTCCCCGTTACATAATGGATAGCCATTGCCCCTGATTCTTGATACCGGTACCGGTAGTTGTTCAGGATGACATCGCGTGCCAGCTGTCGAGTGCCAGTAGTGCTACCGGTACCGCCCGGAACGATTGTTTCCAATGTCCAATAGCGTCAACGGCTCGGATGGCACTCTAGTTATACGTATCTCCTTGGTGCTGCCTGCTAAGAGTACCGTAGCTAGCAAGTAGAGGTAGAAGGCCAAGACGGTAAACAAGAGGTTTGATTATAGGTTAATAGTTTGCACCAACAGCGGGTCTCCCACTCGTATGTATAGGTAGGAGGTTGATTGAATCATTCACATGGATAGATGAGAAGGTTGTACAACAACATTTTCTCGTAGAACCCGCCATTTAGGGAAGACAACAGTGAGGCAATCGCCATGAATTGTACATGTGTGGTTAGTGGACGATATATACATGGTCATTTTGCATCATGATGTCATGCATGAAAGAAAGTCAGGAGGCGGGCAAACAGAACTTGAGGCTTGAAGCTTAGGGGCGCGCAGAAGATGGAGCCCGACGGGTCTCTTGTGCCTGGTCCTGGTTGAACATCTCCGCCTGAGCATCGCCTACAACTGCCAAAACCTGGTCGATCGCAGCCACAATGTCCGCGTGCGTCGCGAACGGAACCCGGTGCGGCGGCATGGCAGCTGGGGGTCGTCGAAGGTGTGGGAGCCTCATCAAGGGCAGCATATCAGTCAGTGGAATTGCTGGAGAGTATCCAAGGGGAATCTCAAGTTCCTGGGACCCCGTACTGGTATCCTCTTCCTCTCCGAGTGACATTCGCATGCAACCCTCAGCGACGGGAGGAGCACGGTGTCCCGATCTCCTCGTGCATTGCTGGACATCCTGAGCTGACGCAACCTGGCTCACCGGTGGGCCGTCGAAACTGGAGCAGTGTGCCATGGTGTTTGTTTGCAATGCTATTCAGGCAATGTTTCTAACTCGTGGGTACTAGTACTAGTACAATGACTGACTGATGTCAAGCAACCTCTCCAGCTGATTGTGAGAAGAAGAGGAAAAGTCAGGTTGGCAGCTGCTACTGTATCTGCTATCGTCGGCCATCAGTCAGGAAGAAGAAGGCTGAGAAGATTGTGCAAAGCTATTAATAGACTACCGGTACGTGTACGACGTACGAGCAGTTGCGGGGTTCGTCTACTAACTAACCTTTCACTGGCTCTTCCTGTGTAGAGCTCCTGATGGGTAGCTACAATGTCATCAAGACCAGAACCCCAGTGACGTTCCAGAAGGCGCGAACGTTATCGACCAATAAGAGTTCAGCATTACAGCAAACTCTAACTCCGCATTTTCATACTAGACTACTGTACTAGTATTTTAATAGTAAGTTCAGTGTAGGGACACCTCACAGGTTCTTTTCATCGACATGTCCAAGCTACTACTCGAGTAACGCTTTTCGTATCAAAGAAGTCAAACGTCCCCTTTTCGAACCAGCATTGGGAGGTGTCTTCCCTCAATAGAAGCCGAAGCAGAAGGGGTCTCACCTCACCCAAGACAGCATTAACATCGTAAGGATCATCATAATAGGCTTCCCTTATTCTGGCCTCAGTAATTAATGTACCGCAGTTGGAAAGAACTGTCTGACGATCCACAATGTCATGGTTCTATTCGTAAAGCCTTGTTCCGACCGGTAGCTGGTACATGTAGCTACTACAGCTGTACAGGTAGAGTAAACAAAATTAATTTTTAAATACCGGTGTGAAAATCAATTGTTTTGATTCCATTGAATCAAATCGAATCGAATCAATCATTCAAAGGATCAAAAAAGAGAGCCAAAAGAGCTGCTGAAAGAGTCTCTGTCAGTCGAGTGACTCAGTCAAGTGGTCTCCTCGAGGACAGCCACTGTCTTTCTACATGCTACTGTAGCTATTTTAAATACCTATCCCATAGGGTACCAACTAGTACATGCAGCGGCAACGACAAGCTCCTTGACTTATTTCAATGCTTAACTATATAAACTTATGCATATATGCAAGTTTGAAACTGATCCCCTCGACTGGAGTGATGCATATTCTGTGCCTGCAATCCATACATCCCTCGTTGAGGAAGGTCAGTCTCTGTTCTGAGGAGGAAGCCAACACGCTCGCAATTGCATGCATTCATCAATGGCTACACCTGTAGCCGTCTCTCTCGAGGACCGTCTGAAAATTCTCTTGCCTGTCTTGAGTCCTTTCATCTTGAAGGTCTAATTCTCCTGCTTGGCGCTAGCAGCACCGTCCGCATTTCCAACGCCGTCCTTGAAGCGGAGTCCATTTTCCGTATCAATGATACCCTGGATCTGAGCCGTATCACTCCAGTAGTTCTTCCCGCCCCCAACAGACGATCGCTTGTTGTCAAGACCGACAAGTTTGGTGCGGATCCCCTCGGGAATAGACTCGCACAACTCGGGCAGGTGCTATAGAACAGAACGATCGGAACAGGGTAAGCCATGACACACAAGAACTTCGCGCAATCCTCGCTGTGCCACCACGCTACACTTACGATATTTACAATGTTCTGAGCTGCCTGGTAGAGGACCTAAGTACACAAAGCAAACAACAAACCCGTTAGGAACAACACAGAAGAGAAAACCATTGAATGGTCAAGTCGTCGTCAACTCACCGTAAGCCTCGACGGGTAATACACAGCCGCCCGAGTTCGCAACTTGGGATGCAAATCGGAACAGTGGATGCAACGAATGCCCACCTGTCCCAATCTCACGGGCTTGTTTCGACCTTGGGCACCCGTCTGGACATCGACTTCTTGCGCTTCAAAGAGTTCAATCTGCTGGCGCGCAAAGCACTGATAGGGCGAGATGCAATCTTCATCGGACGCCACATACAACAGCACCGACTTGGTGGTCGAGTTGTCCACGTGATGCGACTGAGGCGGGTTTTTTCGGGGCGCGGGACGTCGTGCCACTGCGTTGCTGGTAGAGGGGGCTTGGATCAGATTCCGATGCAAGGCAGCAGCGTTGTTATTGGCAAAGTTGACTTGCTGCTGCATGGCTGCCAACGCCGCCATTCCAGAGGGCGGATCTGGCCTGGCACCACCAGCTTGCTGCTGCTGCTGTAAGGCGAGACCCGCGGCTCCTGGCAGCAAGGTTCCCTGCATTTGACCCATGAGGAGGTTCGCCAGCATGATATTGTCTGGCTGTAGTCCTTGAAGTGCCTGGAATGGAAAGGCGGGGGCAGTTTGCTGCAACAGACCCGCGGCTTGGAGCTGCTGAATGGTGGTGGCCTGCTGCTGCAACTGCAGCTGCTGTAGGCTAGTCGAGGGATTCTGCTGCAGCTGTGGCTGAAGCTGTTGCAAGCCATTCTGCTGCAGCAGCTGAAGACTGGCGGCAGGGTTTTGCTGAAGCTGCTGCAAACCAATTTGCTGCTGAGCAGGCTGGGGGTTGCTAGCCGGTTGTTGTTGCTGCTGCTGCTGTTGTTGCTGCTGCTGCTGAAGCTGCTCCAATAGCTGCAACTGTAGAGAAGCACTTGATTGCTGGGTGTTTCCAGATAGCTGCTGCATTTGCCCAGTTGTGACCAACTGATGTCCTTGTTGTTCTTGGTTTTGATTAGAGTTGGCTACCTGTGCCTGATTGCCCGCAGCAGGAACTGGTGGCTGCTGCTGCTGCTGGAGGTTACCTGCATTACCTGAAGCGTTGAAGGCAGCATAGTTACCTGCAAGCGTAGCCACGCCGCCGGACTGTTGTTGTTGCTGCTGCTGCTGCTGGAGAGAAGCTGGCAAACTCCCGGCACCTAGACCTAGCAGAGAGGCGGTATTTGCCCCCGTGTTGCCACAGGTTCCTGCTGTTCTTCCAATTCCCATCTGAGCAAGAAGAAGATTCGGATTTTCCAGGGGATTCATGGATGGGTTAATGCTGAACCCTTGCTGGTTCGACTGATGCGCCGCGAAAGCTTGGGGTGTACTTACTGTGGAGGGGGAGATTAAAAGCGATACAAGGAGAGTTAGCACACGGTAGCATTAACAGTAACATAGGAAGTACGAGCAGAATATACCCGCAACAACACGATGATAGGCAAGGCACCAGCAGCCCAACTCCAACAAGGTATCAACGAGCCACACCCAACACTCAGAGATGGACTAAAAAACCTTCCGCACGTGGGAACAAGCCTTTCTTGACTCGACTGCGGTCATCAGTAACGATACGACGACGGCCATACCGCTCACAACACAACAGGCTCACTACACGACGCACGGCAACATCAGCACCCATTCGCTGACATACCAGTGCTAGCGCCATCTTGGCCATTCTGCAACATCAGAAGTTGTTGAAAGGCGTGAACTGGTCGCCCTTCTAGAGACCCACCTTGATCAGTGCGCGCCTTGCTCTCCTCTCGACCATTCTCTTCGTCTTCGCGACTTCGCTTCCTCCCTCCACCCTCGTCGGCACCATTATTACTACTCATGATGCTTTCGAATAACACGTCGTGTGGGTTTCTTGTTGGTGTTTGGTGTTTTAATGCCCAGAAAGCTGCGGCGTGTTTCTCAAGCTAGCTTGATTGTTGTTGCCGTGGTATTTTGGGGTGGCGTGTGTGGTGGGCAGTGGGCAGGTGCTTTTTCCAAGCCCACCAAGCGGTCTCCAGACTCCAGACGCCGGTTGCACTTGCAGCAGAGAAAAAGCCACCTTATTGCACGGAAGTACTACTCCAGTACTGAGTACATGTACTAGTAGAATATACACAACAAAACCAATCTTGCACAAAGCTACCATCCAAATTGAATGTTAAAACTGTATTCCCCACAACCAGTCATTCCGTCATTCCCACACTCCCACTGTTCTTCCGATCGAACAGTTCTACACACTTAACGATTGGCCTCATGTACGTCCGGTCATCGAAATCCGAACCGCGTTTGAAGTGATTATTATTTACGTGCAATCCAAAATTATTACGGCCGTTCCGTTGTCCTCAATAGGTGGAAATCACCTAGTCAGTGGTGAAAAAGAGATATTTAATACATGCAAGTCTCCCAGTTTGGGCAATAGAGTAACCCAAATCTTCGACTATTATATCAGTCAATCCCCTGTGAGAAAAAGAAGCTTTTTAAAATATTCCGGGTGACTGATGATGACTCGACTCGACTCAATCAGAAAACCAGTATCGTACAGCGTACGGTACCTACCGGTACATGTATCACCTTGGCCCTCAGATTTAAGCTTTTGGAAATGCAGGAAGACACCTGCTAGTTGTAGTCTACTAATACCCGCTAGCTGGCTGCGCCATTCAGACCACACTGTCAGTCCCAGTGCCAGGTCCAAACGACAAAACCCTATAATCTTTTAACTAGGGCTTTCCTTTCGATGTATAATTTGAAAAGGCAAGGTCGAAGAATTTAAGATGCTGGTACGCGACTCCTATTAGCACTCCAGCCTCCTGCGAATGATTGTGGGCTTGTGGGCTTGCGGGCAGCTCTGGTCCAGGGTCAAGCTTCACGTTTGTGACGTGTGGTATCCCAATGTCGCACATATCGATATTCAGAAAACTCCATTATTCTTTATTCTGTTCCATTGTCGCACATATCGACTATTCAGTGTACTCCGGTGTAACCGAAGCTTTTAGATCAGCCCTGTCTGATGTGTATCCTACTACATGTACTAGTAGGGTGTAGGGCTGCGCTGCGTTGGTGAATTCTTTGGCTGCAAGGAGCATACTGGTATCTCGCAGGAACGGTGAAATGAGAGTACCTAGCTAGTAGCATGGCCATGACTGGCCACCGGTACCGTAGTCCGTGTGGGACGCTTTCTGCCCACTCATCTACTCGTATTCTACTAGTAGTTTGTGAGGATTCCGCCGGACCCATCCTCGAGTGCAGCTACTACTTGGTGGTTGGATGTGTACGTCATAGGAATCTAGCAAATAGTGAATTATCACCATACTTGCACAAACCGGTACGGGAGAGAGTCTTGCAGCAGCTTGGATGGCATGTTCGTTGTTTCTCGAGACCCGACAAACACCATGGCTGAATGTGCGGCCAAATAGTCTAAATGGTGGCACAGACTGACGCGCTTCCAGTGATTTGTCGTCTCGGGCTTCAAACTTCAACCCAATATGACGCACTGTCTCCGTCGGTTTCAACCTTTTGCTCAATCGCAATGAGTCCGTCCTGGATCAAAAGGCTGGCTGCACTTTTTTGTTTCCGTTGGCTCTGGGTGATCATGCCTACCGTGAATTTGGACTCCTCCAAGTAGGCGTCGATAAGATCGCCAGTGTCATGATCCTCAATCCCAAGGAGCTCTTTGTTCTGTTTCAAGTACACTGCGGCTGATTGTTCGTCTTGACCTTCGTCTTGGGCGAGCTCCTTCAACATCTGCTGATGTGCATCTGCGAAATGGCCACTTGGAATTGTCTGCCCTGTCGTCGAGTTCATTTCAATCACCAGTCGCAAGGCATTTCTGGCGGACCCTTGCCTATGGTAGGTCCGATGCATCTCCATGTTGATACCTTTGTTCTCTTCTATTCTCTTCGCAGCGGCCCTCACACATCGGACCATCGCGTTGTTGCCCCGATTCATGTAGTGCCTGGGGAAGAAATCAATATGCGAGCGGAGCATCTTATTCAACACTCTCGGCTTCGTCCCCCTCACTTTTTGCAACCAAAGATGGTCCTCTCCAAAAAAATAGTCATCATTCGTTGCGTTGAGGTACACAAAGACGAGCCGCAGCACTTTCCGCTCAAGAGACTGTGACCTTACGTTTTTCCGAATGCAAAAGTCGTCTACCAACCCCAAAACACCCAAACTTTCTGCTTCCAGGATAAAAAGCTTCAGTCGAAGGACTGCCTCGTAAAAGTTAATTTCAGGAACTCGCTTACGCTGGGAGCAGGAAAAGGCATATATCTGTCAGTGCGTGCTGCTGTCATGATTGGAGTGACATACAAGTTACCGAACGCACCTGGAGGTCCCGCTCATTCTTTGTCACCAATGACACTACTTGAAGCTTGAAAAGGCGAGGGACAGGTTCGAGAACTGGATTCCGCATAACGTCGGCCAGGAAGAACTCAAAGGGCAATGATTCCAGTTTGGGTTCCACGGTAACGTCAGTCCCTAACATCATGATGCTCTTTGACTTGCTTGCTGGGTGCACCACATCGATGTTTGAATATTTCATGCATCTGGGATGTGTGAAGGAGAGGAGGAGCAAACGTGAGGATGGCGATACTTGTGGCTGAAATCGTAGCGAGGACATCCGTGTTGCACTTACAACCGATTCCACCGGTCAATGAAGTCCAACACTGTTGGGTGGAAATCTGAAACAGGTGCTCCTTGCATCATAATATTGATCATCTTGGTTGGAAGGTTCCGTTGCGAGACCAACCCATACAAGTGCCCTAATCCAAGAGCCGAGTTGTAGTCCCTGGACAATCCCGTCATTAAGTGCTGAGTGATAGCCTCATACATCTTTCGGCAATACGTTGGATCCCACCCCGCTTCTTCTGGCGTTCCAAAGTGATACACCATCGCACGGTAGATTGCGGAGGGCTGAATGATTTCATTAAGCCGAACAACTCGTTGATCAATTTTGAGTTCTTTTAGCAGCTTGGCCAGTGCAAATCGACAAGCTGGAAGTGTTGTCATCATGAATGGGACATCAAACGCAGCCTCTCCATAGACTTCTTCATGTGTATCACACGGTTTGCGACTGGAAATGGTTGTCACTTCACGAGCTGCTCGGCACATTTTGTCTAGCTGAAACTGCTGAGCAATCTCCTGATTGCCAGCACGGAGCAAGTTGACTGCTGTCATGGTACTAGAAGCATGTCCCACTTGAGCTCCCACTTTGCACACAGCTGCCCACACTCCGTCGGCCCCGTTGCAAAGGGTTGTAAGTTGTGTAGCCTCTGCCAGGCCAAAGTAGTAGTGACAATGCACCAAGAAGCGTCCTTGTGGGAATCCTGCCCGATTCATGGTCAATCGGATCATGCGACAAAGCTTGCCCACTTCTTCGGGCCAGAGAAACCCAGTAGGTTCTTCCATCATGAATCCAAACGGCCTCTGATGAGATTCTGAACTAGAGAGAGAATGAACCAGTCTCAGTGCCTCTTCAAATCCCCGCGTGGAACGATTGTAGTTGCTAAAATCTCGTAGATTGATGAATACACGAGCCGTGTTGTCTTCCCCCGCAGGTACGTTTTCCCTCTTGGGCAAATGTTCTTTGCACCAGGAGATTAGGAACCGGCACCGTTCCACAATATCGTACTTGTCATAATCAAAGGTATCAACGGATGTATCAATTTCGATAATGGCATTGCAGATTCCATATCCCGCCATCATGAGCAATCCTAAGGGGACCCGCCCATGTTGCTTGGATTCCGACTGCTTCAAAACCTTGTCCAATGAGAGGTTACCAAACGGTTTTGGTCAAAACCCTTTGGACGCTTCCTTAAAGAGTGCCACTTCCTCTTTGGAATAGTTTCCCTTGGGAACAAAAGATGGCGTGAAGAATTCATAGTCTTCTCCTCGTTCTTCCGCTTTGAAAAAGTCTGGAACGGACGACCACAACTTTTCTTCTTCATCTTGGTCGTGTTCCGCCATGTCCCACGCATCGGTGAAGCCCCAGGTACTGTCAAACGACTTGCCCAGGTTAGTTTTCCAATGCGCGGCAACTTGACTGTCCACCGAAACCTTGGCACCAAAGGCACCCAAGATGACTTCTTCCAAGCCGGTATCGGCCATGCTGTTGACAATTTGGAGCTTTTCCTCCATGGTATGTCCACGGGCCGCACCCACCGTGGTTTCTCGCAAGCTATTGTCGAGTACAAAAAAGTCATTGACTTCTTGCAATGCTTCGACGCTCAGTGGCCGCAAGGCAGCCGGATTGGCCAGTGCCTTGTCTACCACCATTTGAGCGTCATGGACTTCTTGCACCAAGGCGGTGTAGCGATCATGAAAGTCGTGACTGTTTTGTTGTTGGGATTCTTTTATACACGGACGGGCCATGAGGTTGCCCGTGCGGGTGGCCACACTGAGCACTCGTTGTAGCTCCTTGTAGACTTGCAATGCGGCTTTGATCTCCTCATGCGACAGGGCTTTTTCATCCGCTGTGGTTTCCAGCAACATCTGGGCCATGTGGAGCGTGTCTTCTAGATCGAGCAATGCCGTGTCGGTGCTTCCGAATTCCTCGGATGGGTTGAGATGAAACTCAATCGACGAGCTTTTGTCATTAAAGACACGACGGGATCTCTTCCAGGACGATCGTTGCTTCAGCTTGTTCCGACGTCTGTGAAAGGCATCACTCGAACGATCTTCCGCCGCCAAGGCAGCCGCAGGAGAGAGGGGTGCTCTTTCCGGGGCCGCACCGTGGCTGTCTATGTCGGGGTTCTTTACATGAAACAAGTGGCCCTCGTCAAGAGCATGGGTATCGTCTTTACGGGTACCATCCACAAGAGAAGGATGTGAGCGACAGTTGCCCATGGTGACGATGATACACGTATGCTTCGCTACGGAGTAGGTGCTTTGGAGACAAATGGATTGACGCAGCAACAAACTTAGCAGTCAGGGGTCAGAGGGATCAAAGGGTTGAGGAGTTCTGGAGGGCGTACGATATGGTAGCAAAATCCCCGTAAAGATTACTGCCTGTTGCAGGGAGCTGAGCAGTTTTCTGATCTTCGTTGAAATCGATCTCTTGACCTGCCTGTTGAGCTCTGTTGCAATGTTGCATTGACACACAAGAACACAACCGCCTGACCTTGCAGGTTTAGCTTGACAACTATAGTGCAGTGTCTTATAGTGTAACATAGTACAGTACTGCTACCGGTACAGTAATACAGAACTGGTGCTGACAAGTGTTAGAATTACACTCCAGACTCCAATATAAGAAACTCCACTATAAGAAAGCGAGCCCTGAGATTTTAGAAAATGTTAAGAAAATCTTGATGCTGAAATATTACAGACTTGTAAGAAAGCTTCCCAGTATTAAGACCTCAAAGCATAAGAAATGCTACTAGTCTGACACCATGAAAATGCTTCAAACTTGTGCTGACATAAGCAAAATTTTCTGCCTCACGGCACACACAGTGATCACCCTCTCTATTTGATCCAACCCAATTTATGAGTCCTGAGCAAGTTGAACCAAAAGTCCCAGGTTCATTTGGTGTATCCAAGTACTGCCCTGCTTGACCTAGAAGCATAGTAAGAAAGTCTTCAATGCTGAAATTGGCTTGTTTTGTTAGAAAGGAACTGAGGGTCAGAAATGGTGCTGCACGGTAAGAAAGGCCCAGGGCTGCACTGAATTTAGAGATTTCTTATATGTGAGTTTGGAGTGTAACATCATGTCTGTTTTTTCTGTACCGGTAGGTACTTAACAGCACTCCTCCCAAAAGAGCCGTTCAGTCACATTTGCGTCCTCCCCAATGTCATCATTCCCCTTTTGTACACGGACTGTGCACAGCACCAGAGTAGGGCACATAAGTAGTTACGAGCAAAACAGCAAAAGATTACCACCATTTTTCTCAGCTTTGTGCGCTTATTTATTTGATAGATTCGATTTTATCAATAATTGAACGATCGATTCTTTTTGCAGTGCCAGGGTTCGGATGTCGTGCTGGTCCTGCCATAGCAATTGGCTTGCTTGAAGCCGACCAGTGTGCAACTGGAACATCCGGAAAGTTTCATTCATACTAGTATGGCCTTCGGGATCTTCGGCACCGATGCTGCAAACTACCGTATCGGCCTCTCTATTGGTACTGTACAGGTACGCCTTTGGTGCAATGATCCTCATAGAGGACCTATTGAATGGTTCTTGCCTACCGGTAGTGCAATGGCGATCAAGTGGGCGGCCCTAGCCATCAGTACCTTGTGCCTCACTCGACCATCCATCCAACCAGCCAAGACATGCATTCTTTGAGCAGCTCCTCGAGTTTCAAGGAACTACGGTATGCAAACCATAGCTCTCCCTGACTAACATCAGCGCAACTCCTCTGACAATTCATAGTTGGGTTGTTGTAGTTCTTGAATCACAATTCTCACTTGATACTTGTCGTTACCGGTCCACAACAAGACTCCCCGGATTGCCAAAATGCTGTGTCCGTGGTTGCCACCTTGAATGTTGTAAATCCCCTCTGTCGTAGTGGCATCAAATTGGAGGCGTATCGCAGCTTCATAAGGAGCGGGTCTCTGGTAGTCTCTTTGTTGATTGTTGACAAAATACTGCAAGTACCAATACCCCGACAAGGATGACTCCACTACTCGATCGGGATCTACCAACAGCAATTCTTGTCTCTTGAACAGCTGAAATGTTCTATTCTTGCTGTCGTTGCTGTTGTCGATGTTGATTGCAACATCATTGTAGGATCGATTTCCACTGATATGATGTGTCACTCGGGGGGTGCAGGCATCTTCTTGAGTCATGGTGTCATTCGAGTAGGTTCCCAATAACCAGGTATAGGTTGTCTTGAGGCTTTGAATTCCATTGTTGTTGTTGTTGCTGCTACTGTTCACAAACCATTCCAGGTCCAAGGGAGGCTGGACTGTAGAGTTGGGCGTTTGATGCTTTCGCTTGCCATTCTCCAGGCCCAAAAAGGAATGATATTGATTCAAAAATCCCGTTTGGTTTTGGCGGATGAATTCACAGGGTACCAGAAACATGCGGTCGTCTTTTCCCAAGAGCTGGCTCCAACGACTCAGGAGATGGGAACAAGCAGGGCGTTTCGTCGATATAAAACCAATGGAAACTTGATTCTCCCAGTTTCTATTGAGCAAGCAATCGACAAAGTTCAAGGAAGGATCAGGCCCGCCGTTGGGACCACCATTGTCCGTTTGGTTGCGTATTTGATCGATGGCCCGGGCAGGCATGACCATGACAATCTTGACAGACACGTTCTTCTTGTCATTGTTATTATGGATGCGTTGTTGTTGTCGTTGTCGTCGTGCAGATATCAAATCCAACACATGCCGTACCGTATTGGGATGATTTATATGAGCCCAAGTGGCGTCCAGTCGGACAGAAGTATCCAAGGAACAGTGCTGGTACAACTGAAGATACCAGCCCAACAGGTCGTCTTCTGTGAAGGAGCGATTCTCGGACTGTTCTTCCTTCAATGTGAGTTCCCAATCATAGAGAAAATGAGATCCTGGGATCCGCTCCAAAAGAGGATCGCCGCGATCGGGTCGTCCATTGTCTGGCCCACAGACCTTTTCCAAACGCATTGCATAACTTGCAATTACACTCACAGCATCTGCTGCCCCCACAATGAATACATTGGGATAGCTGATGGTATCATCGGTAGGATCATCAGAACTAACAACGCTTCGTTTAAGATGACTCCCCAGGTCAGAGGCAACTTCATCCTCGTCCCAGTCCAAATTCGAGGCCGTCGTCGTCACCACCATGCCACACAGTGATGCGAGAACTATCAGAAGAAAAACCACATACAGAATCGGAGACGAAGAAGTTTCGTCTTCTGTTGGCGCATTGTCGCCATCTAGTTCCAAGTCTTCTTGTGCTGGAGGAGTTGTCCTGCGTCTTTCCCGAAGGGATGTTGATCTTCCAGTACTGTCGTCCATCATCCGGATCTTTTTGGCTGAAGTTCCCGGTCCCTCATTTTTCTTACGGAAAGCCAGTGTAGCTGTGAGATGTCGTCAATTTCGTAGCGCACCAACCCCTCTCTCTCCACCAAAATCTGGAAGAAAATCACCAAGGGACAGGGCGAAAAAGGAAAAACACCAGCCCCTTCTTTACAAAAACCATTGGATTTCCCTCATGAGTACCGGTACTAGTATGTCTTTAGCTAAGGAAGACTCTCAGACGAGGGTAATAAGGACTCACTCCAATTTTCCAAAGAGAACGACGAATTCATCCTCATTGACTACATTACTGATAAATGAATTGAGTTATCTACATCATGTACCGTTCCCCTGAGACTGCCTTCAGCCACTGTAGAGTAAAAAATAGGGGCAATAAATATATATGCATGGGACTTGCGCATTCTCCCTCCAGAAGCAAGCTCTCAGCATCTCGAATAATTCTAAACAGAAAACCAGGCAAACTAACTGCCACCCTAACTAAGCATTCTGCGTGTGGCCAGGTGCAGGAGCGGGCTGGGCTACTGGGGTGGGTGCCGGAGCTTGTGGAGTAGCGGCTGCCTGCTGAGGCCAAAATTGCATGGGGTTGAATGCCACCATCCCAGGAGCCGCTGGAACCGGAACTGCTGCTGCAGGCTGTGGTGCTGCCACTGGAACGGCTGCTGCAGCTGGGACATAAAGATCGGCACCAGGAGCAGTTGGAGCAGACGCAGCAGCACCCTGCATGATAGCCTTCATCGTGACTTTATGTCAGAGCAAGCGAAGCGAAAGTGAATGATACGGAAAGCAGAAATTATGGAGTTACTTACCTGCAATGGGACAATACTTGGATATTTGCTACCGAGTTCCATTAATTGCTGTTTCAGATGTTCATTGCGATCACTCAATTCTTTGTTTTCCCTTGAGAGTGTGATCACCGTGCGCTGTAGCTCTTCAATCATTGACTTCTTCCTCTTGCGAGACTCCCTGGCTGACACACGATTCTGCTCCAAACGTTCGCGTCTCTTTCGATTCTTCACTTCCTCACTATCGGCACCGTCCTTCTCCTCACCTGTCTCTACTTCCACATTCCCATTTGCTTCAGCTGTCATTGTCCTGATCCTTTGGGCAGTCTACGTGATGATGAATGAATACACTGATGCGTTCCTCTACCCTACTCGAAGTGTTAACCAGCATTCTTCTAGCTATTCTCCTTGTTTGGTTTCTTTCATCTTCGATGATGGCGGCAGTTGTTCCTAATTGGGTTGCTAAACGCACCAGGGCGTGCACGCGTGAACGAAAGTTGCATCACTGAGACATTCTTCGGACATCCAGATCACTTGCGTTCTGGTATAAGCCAGCGGGAATTGGCTTTGCTGCGAGTGCTTCGGGGGCAAAACGTATCTTTGGCTTACATGTACTGCAAGTGATCATCATTCTGCCATGGCGGCATCGGCACAGTCGACCCCTGGCGTTGCCTGCTGTGAGTGAGATTCTATCCTTTATGTAACTAGTTCTTGAATAATCGCTCTATCTCTGCCTAGCCTGGCACGATGATGATTATCCCAGCATAATAAGAGAGTTACTCTTCCACAATAATCACATCATCCACTGAACGACGCAACGATCGTGGCATTGTGGGACCCTTTCCAAACCGCACCACCAAATCCGGACGTGCCCCCGACAACTCAAGTGCTTTTAGGAATGCCGGACGCAAAGACGCTTCCTCCACAGGCTGATTGAGCATGGCATTGCGAACCTGCAACACGGTCGATTCCAACGCAAAGCGTTCATAACACCGTCCAGCCTCCACCCAATGCACAGCATCATCTTGCTCCGAAACGAAGATTGCCACACCTGCCGAGCTTGCAATGTGTTTGACACACTTTTGATTCTCGGGGCCCGCTTGAAACACCAGGGGAAAGACAAAATTTGCCAGCCATCGCGGGAGACTAGGATTGCCCGTAGACGCAGAGTAGATTCCGTCCTTGTGTTTCAGAATGTCACCACCATCAAATCGAATCCATTCTTTGAGCTCCGTCACAAAGGCTTTGTTGGCAATTTGGACCGAGTTGCCTTGGAGGACGTAATCACGGATGATGCCAATGGATTCTGCATCTGTGAACAGTTCCACACGAACACCATTGCCAGTGCCAGCTTGTTTCAGCAATTCCAGATCCTCCTTGGGTAATGGCTCGCCATTGTACTCACTCCTGGAGGATTGGCGCTCCGGGATAGCCAGAAAGAAGGGGTCTTCCCTGTCGACCTTGCCTGGTGAAAACTGGATTCGAATGCCATTTGCTTTCGGATTGCTAGCATCGACCTCGGAGTCAAGGCCCAAGGCACGGCCTGCCAAAACCATATTCTCCACGGCACATCCCAGGGAAACAAACAAGTGATGATTGTCTGGGTCGACTATTGGACAGGAACGGGAAAAGTCGGGGAGTACATGAATGGAAGAATCTTGTTCTGAAATCCGAAACTTCCAGCACTGTGTGTTGTGGCTGGAGGGAGCTAGAGTTCCGTACCGAACTATCTCATATAGTTTGTCCTTGAGGCTGATGGGCATGTTAGATTGTTCTTTTTGTTGGCTAGTATCGAGTGCAGCGTTGTTGGAGTGTCTCCAGATATCCACAACAGCATCATTGTAGTTCTTGTAGTGCATTCTGGAAATGGAATCCGGGTTCTCAGTAGAGGTCGACAAGGATGTTGCTGAGTATTGATTCTTGGGGATGATAACAGATAATACAGATAATGAGATAACGAGGTAGCTTAGCTGGAGTTTCATTGATTACGACGACGATGGAGCTTGGATGCAATGGACTTCTCATAGCGCTTCTATCCAAGATGGCAATGGATGCAAGATCCTTTGCACGTGATCTCGTGACTCGTGACGAGTATCTTCAATGTCCATTCACGTGCTGGGTCACGGACGGCGTCATTACTACCGCGCAGTGCACTGGTACTAGCTAGTACCAGTGGGAGGTGGGGCGACATGATGTTGTTGGATTGCAAGCGCTTGCTTTGGCCTCCTAAAAGGAGTACCGGTACGTGTAAAGCGCTACTGAAGTACTGTACTTCTGGCACAGGTCCCAACTTGGCATCAAAATACCCAACGCGGCTACCAGTGAGGTGGAAGGCTTGGTCGAGCGCAAACGTCTGTCACTAGCTTCCAGGTTCGGGAACAAGATTGCGCACAAGATTGCGCGAGCTCGATGCAGACAAGCGAAATCAATGTATTTTAGAAGATCATCAAAGCTATTGCTTGTTGTTTGTGGCATATTATGTATTTTATTTATTTAATAGAAACAGTCAAGTGCAAGCATGGAGTGGATTGCAACGTGCCAGCCAGCAAAGTGGATTGAGGTCGTGCTACATGATGACACAAGAGGCACCACTTCCATAGCAGCGGTTGAGCTTCTTGACACTGATCCAGGGCTTCATGCGCTTACTGATTGGGTTCCACTGAAGAGACTCTGATTGGAGAAGCATCTCAACATTCTGGATGAATCCAGTCCAGTCCAAAGAGGGATCGGGGACACCATCAAAGTTGGATTCTCCAAAGAGGAGATAGCAGAAGTCTCGGAGCTCACTTTTGGTCAACAACCTCTCATCCAGCATGTCAAACACACGATCATGGAAGCCCATCTCACGCATTCGGTGAATTGGTAGAGCATAGTTGAGCCAAGGGTTGCATTCATAGACCTCCTGGGCCTCGGCAGTGAAATCATCCAAGACTTCCACAGAAAGTTCAAGGATCACATCGAGATCATTGCTGGCAAATTAATGAAGGGTTTCAGGTCAGAGGATTGAATCAAGTTGAATGCAAATAAATGGCTCAATCAAAGAGGAACTTACTAGAACTCCACAACTTTGTCTTCATCGGTGCAGAGGCGGATAACGACCCATACAGGAAGGCCCTCCAGCATGCGCAGAGCTTCCACAAACTCATTCTTCATTGTGTCACCCCCATGTCCCCGTTGGTCAGTTGGGAGTCCGTCTGTGGCAATGACAATTGTGACTCTCTGGCCATTCTGGCGAAGTTCTGGGGCCAATGCCTTGATTTCTCGATGGATCTCCAGGATGTGGCTGGTAAGCGGTGTGCAGCCATGAGGCTTTTCATTGCGGATGATGTTCTGGGCCTCACGAACATCATCCATAATACGTTCTGAGCTGTCAGCCACTGAGAACTGCTGGGGGCCAACCCTGGCTCCAGGGTTATTCAAAAGCCGGAAGTATGTGGAAGCCTCGATGGCTCCTGCCATTGCAATGTGGTACTTGACACATTCTTGGATTTCTTCCCAACGGGAGCAGGGGACCATTTTGACATCACCCTTCTTCAATGTGGGCACTATGCGGTGACCATCAGGGTGGTTCATGCTTCCAGAGTTGTCAATGATCCAGATACGTTGACCAAAGGCAGCCTTTGTCATTGTAAGGCTCTCTGCAAGTCCACGTGAGTATCCTTGCTCGACCAAGCGCTCCAGTTGCTCTTCATCAATGTTTGTATTCTGCTTCTTGGCGAGGGCCAAGTTGTTAGTGCGATTGTTGTTAGGTGAATCAACTGGCTCTGCAAGAAGAACTACAGGAACATTATCATATGACTTGGTCATTTTGTCTTTTTTGTTGTTGGTGTTGTGTTGTGTTGTGTTGTTGTGTGGGTTGATTGTGGGTTTTTGTGTTGCTTTTTTTGCAAAATATGAGCTTAGTTTCAAAGCATCCCATGAGAGATCCAAGGGCGAATGGCATGGTTTCATCCAAGACTGGCATTTTTGGAGTGGAGCTCTTTTGACTGGTGCCAACAGTTTTCGGACAACGGACTGACCACATACCAAGACTGGCTGGCTGCACGGGAACCAAATCAACCACAGATCTGTTCCCGATCCATCTTCAGATCAGCGCTACATACAATCGGCTCCCCCATGTCTTGGCACCGTGACTTCAGACTTTAGATGGTGGCTTCCAACTCTTACCAGTAGCATTGCTAGCGTAGCAAGCATACCTCCAGGCCAAAGGAATAGGATCTCAAGGGATCTTCCAACGAGGACATGAGGACGGATTGGATCATTCGCCCAGGTACCTTATAGTCCGCAATGTCTTGATGGCTAGTGTTTTGCACCACACTACCCTGTCCCAATTGAGCCGGGAGTGACTCGACTCGTGCAATCGATGGGCACTGCTGGAACATTGGAACCATCCTTTGAATAAACCCATGCTTGATTCCTTCAGGCCCTCTGGATCCTTGGCAAGGTCATCTGCGCGATGATGCATGGATCTAGTTTTGAATACCAGTTGAAATCATAAGAGACAATGCAATGGTTGCTTTCCCCGTAACAATCTCAGGGTGCCTGACGTGCGGACCGTACTCAGTGGTACCGGTCAAGACCTGTCAGCATTTTACCGCCCCTTATGAGGGCTCTGGGGTGTTCGTCTATTCTTGTCGACCGCCCGGTGTATGTTTTGCGATCGATCAACTGAACAACCAATTCCCTTTCAGCCTATGCATTGCCATCAGCTCAACAAGGCCAAGAAGTGCTCTCGCGCGCCCTAGCCTCCTAGGGGTGTAGAACGAGAGGCCACAGAAACCACTGCTTCTTCCTGCCCAGTGGATGAAAACTCCGTGCTCGCTATCCTACCGAGGTACGTGTGGATAAAGAAAACGTTCTCCGCCGGGGAGCGATGTACGACTAACAAAAACCAATAATATGGCAACGAGTGACTGGTGGTTAATAAAAGGATGGATGGTGTCGATATCATGTTTATACTTCTATCGCCACCAAGAACTTGAATTAGCTAGTTGTTAGTTACGTGAGGCTCTACGGCTACTTTGTGCTTATGATGCCGCCCGAGATCTGAACGAAATAAATGCCCTGCAAAACTTCATCCATCGCTGCATTACCATGATTGTTGTGTGTGTTTGTTAGACTTAGTAGACTTAGTACTGTCAGTCTCTTTTCTGTGATTGGCGTGGACCACGGAATGTCGTGCCCAAATTCTTCTCTGCTGATCTATCATCTATGATTTATCGGATTTGCATGATTCCACTCAGCTTGGACGATGTCGCAAAAGATGCACCTTCACGTTGATTCTTCGACTTGGTAGGAGCTGCAAACAATCCGCCCCAGAATCGCAATGTTTCGTCACTGGCGGCGGAAACTACAGTGCTCCCGTCGGGACTGACAGCGGTGTGCAGGACACGGGAAGTGTGACCCTCAAGCTCCTTGATCTTGGTCATGGATGGGTATTTCCACAGAGAGAGCTGATTGCGCGCAAAACCATGCGACGAAAGGATCTCCTTCTCGAATGGATTCCATTGCAAGGAGCAGACCTGAGATCCAGTATCGATGGTGTTGAGGAGGGCCCCGGTTTGAGTATTCCAGAACTTGATGGATCGATCGGCTGTTCCACCGCCAGATGCGAGAAGGTTGCGTTCATGAGGGGACCAGGCGAGAGCTTTCACGGCGGCATGATGGTCGGTAAACTTGAAACGAGGGCGAGATGAGTTCGTCGCGCTTGCATCCCACAAACAGAGCATGTTGTCGTTTGCACCAGACGCAAGCGTGGTCCCGTCGAGTGACCATTTGAGGGAGCAAACCTCTTGCGAATGGGCCGAGAGAGTTGCCACATTGTGTCGGGAGAGTCGAACGTCGTGGTTGATAATGCGAGAGTCGCGGCCTCCAGAGGAGAGGATGTGTTGGTTCCAATTGAGGGCTCCGACTCGATCGCTGTGGCCATCCATGCTTCGAAGTTGCTTGCACTCGTTGACATCCCATAGCTGAGTCATTCCGGTGGATGTACCAACGGCCAAGTGAGCTCCACCCTGTTGAACCCACTGCACAGAGGAGATGTGAGCATCCTGACCACCGCCTTCGATGGTGCACAGCTCTTGGATATCACCACTGGAAGCATTCCAGAGATAGACAGTATCAGTAAGGGCAACTGCCAGAACATTGGTGTCGCTCCACGACAAGAGGTTGAGATAATAATCGTCCATCATTCCAGGTGCATCGAGAATGCGAGAAGGCGCCGATGGGATGGATCGGTTGACGAGTTTGGTACTGGCCTTCTTCTGGGTAGCACTTGCAGACGCGGAGTAGAGAACACTAAGGTTGTTGACGGTGTCGCCTTTTGGAGCAGGTGCTTTCTCGGCGAAACTCAATACTCGAGATTGCTTGGTCATATCATCAACGCCCAACAAGGAAGAGCTCAGATTGTTGCAGTAAGTGTCTTTCTTGGAGTCATTGACGGAACTACCATTGCTGTCGCCGTCTTGGCTGTCAAAGGAAGAACCAGTCCCATCAGACCGGAGAATGTGCTTCGACAACTCCGAGTTTGTACCGCCTCGATTGGGGATGAAACGATCTCCATTGTGATTTGAAAGAGGCGGGCGACGATCCTTGTCCAGATAACTTGCTTGCTGTTGGCGACGGCGCTCCCATCGAGGCTGGACACCAGTGCGAACAGACTTGTTCGAGTCCGAGAAGGATGTGGAGAGGAGGTTTTCGAATTCGACAACCGATTTGGACATTGTTGATTGAGTTTTTGTATGTATGCGTATGCGTGTATGTTCAATATCTGGATGAAACGAAGAAGAAGTACTAATTGGTTAGACAGAATTCAGCCAAGACGAAAGCATACGAGACACAAGACTCTATCTCGGAAAGGCAGGATGACAATACCATGAAGCAGACGCCATTGTTTAAACTTACATGAAGAATGCAAAGAATGAATGCGTGTTGTATGATGCTGAAATAAACGTTCGCTGATGAGGTCTGCCTTTCAGTTTTTGATGTTGTTTCGAAATCGAGCAATTTGTGATGGCGAAAGCAGAGCGCATGGCAGCGAAACGGTCAAGAGCCAGCCAAGGAACCGGCTCGCTTCCCTGAAAAGCACGAATGATCACACCCATTCGCAGTTCACGACGTGGGAGCCTCTCGGATGCAGCTCGAGCCCACCAACGCTAGTACTGTAGACGCTGGGTTGGGTCGTTTGAGGAACGCTGGGTTGGGTCGTCCTGCATGTTACAGGATTTGGTCATCTCAACACTTCTTCCAACTCTCATAACCTTCTGGGAACAGCTTCATTTCTCCCCCACTTTGACAAGCAAGATGAAAGACTCTACAACCAGCGAGGTCAACATTGACGGCGATGGTGCAACCGAAGGATGCGGAAACTCAATTCCAAACGAAAAGATTGGGACCGAGGCAAGCCACGGCTGTCTGAGTCGAAGTCGTACGGGCACGTTGGAGACAATCTGTGAGAGTTCCAGTGACACCGGTATCGACCTGGAAGCTGCGCCACAAGATCTTGTAGCGGATGATGTCCCTGGGTCTATGTATATTCCCGACGCCAGGCGCATCGAAGCCGTTCGAGACGGGCTTCTTCGAGTCCTCGATGGCCCATTCTTCCAAACACTTGGTCTACTTGTTCTACTCTTGGTGGTCATTGACGGTGCATTCTTCTTTTTCCTCTTAGTAGGATGGCATGGACTTTGTCCACCCGGCACCAACGATTGTGACCAACGCAACTATTGGTACAATTTCAGTGTACAGGTCCTAACGCTTCTCTTTACATATTCCGCCCTCATCAGCCTGCCTTGGCGTTGTGCCAACTTGATTCATCTTACCCGACCAAGCAGAGCTACTACAGCAGATTCTTCCAACGCAACAGCAGGAACCAATCTACAGGGTCTTGCCACCGAGGAACCTTGGTTTTACATTCCAACGACTCGCCGCGTTTGGCTCACGACGCTGCTATTATGGAATTCGCTCTTTCAGTTCCTGAACCAAGCAAGTCGTATCGTCTACTCTGACTACGAGTCTCAATCCAGCTTTCCAGGTTGTCTATGGACCAATCTCTTTTTTGGCTTGTCGTTCCTGTGTGCAGCTGTTGCTGGTGCATGGATCGCCTGGGAAACGAAACTGTTGCGGCAAGCTTATCCGGGAAAGTTTGGAATGGGGCCAGTTGACGCTTTCCAGGAGTTCTATCAAACGTACTTCGGAGGGCAGTGCACACTGCCCAGGAATAGAAGGGAGCAGGAGTCGGTGGATGAGGAGGAGGGGTGAATCCGGAGACTCTTGCACTGTAAATTGGAAGCAGAACCCACTATTAATGGTACATTACCGCGATAGCTTCGTTGTTACACAGAAACTGATTGTAAATTGCAAGTCAGATGTCTGCCTAGCTAGTCACTCGGTTACATTGGCCCCTCCGGAACGAGCATGCATGAGCTGAAGGCTGACAGGTAGCGGCGTCCAAACTACAAAGCCATCCGCGGTTGCATCGGAGCACGACATCAGAGACTCGTGCATACAGCAGTGGATTCTCTCCAAGCACTGTGATTACGATGTAAGGTGGTGAGGCTCTGCAGCAAGAACAGCAGCATCGCAATCGACAACCCCGAACCACAGGGGAAAGTCGATGGCAGCAGCAATTCCCTCCACTGAACGGAACTAGTACAAACAGTGCAATGCTGTTGACATTCACTTTACTGCGAATTGCAGCCTCGGGAAACTACCGGTACATTCGGAGGCAACCCAAGCGGTCAATCATGCAGATTCTTGTTGTTTCTTGAGTTTTTGCTTCTGGGCTTCTGTGCTTCCTGTATTGACAGGGTTGCCATGCATCATTGTGCTTAGTGTGTTAAAATCCCCCAAGACTGGATCTGCCACTATTGCGGGGAAGGGATTTGGTAGTTGTCGGTGCATTTTCCAGCTTCTGGCCTCTGGGGAAAGGATCCAATCGAGGCATCGTGCTCTTGATCTGGCACCACTATGCAAACCTTCTGCGAGCTTGGATCAGGGCCTCGGTCATGTCGTTGCTGTCGAGACAAACTGGACAAGGTCAACTCTGCGGGTCCCTTATGTTGAAGAATGGTTTGGGTACTTTGAAGGGCTGTTTCTTCTATCACTCGCAGTGAAGGAAAGCGAAGCACAGCACTACACGTGCACTTGCACTCCTCGTCCATCACAAGCTACCACACAACACCACGCTTTGGAGCGATCGATCAATCATGAGTTAAGACCAACGGCACGAGCTGCCTTCATTTTGGGTAGCAGTACTGGTACAATCCTGTATCATTGGCGGTACCGTACATACATCGATACGGTACCGTGGAAGTTGCCCGATCGTTACGGATGAAGCTGCGTCTGTAGATAACTTGCCTACTCTGCTGTTGTAGCCGTCGTGGATCCATCGTACGGTAGCTTACTCAAAGCAGGATGTCATGGAGCTTTGACTACAGCATTTTTTCAGCAAACCTCTTCTTCCCAGGCTAGAACGATGCTTTGCCAGCGCTCGACGTGTCTTTGGCGCTCCTCGGGAATGGCATCTTCATTATTGCTTCCATCGTTGTCCTTGTTCAGGGCATACCTGCGTGCCCACTCCAAGGCAGTATGACCCCGTTTGTCCACAGCCTGTGACAGAGCATTTCCAGCATGTTGCAAGAACAACCCTGCAATTTGTAGAATGGCCGGCCTTGGATCCAATGCCAGCCAATGCAACACGGTTGCTTGGAACTTGAAATCTCTCATTTGCAGTAGGGTTTGTACTGTTGTTGTCATGTTGTGTGCATGGATGCTGCTGCTGTCGGCATCGGCTTCTTTGGCCACTTTCAAGATTCTCTTGGCACTGACCAGTATGTGCTGCGGCTCGTTCTTGAGTGATTTGGCACAAAGATCCAGTAGAGGAGTGCAACCAGAGCCTTGATTGTAGATCCATATCAAGTCTTGTGCTGGTGGTAGTAAATGATGATTGTTGTGATTGTTTTCTGCAGGTTCCTCTTCTGGCACTCGATGCTCCGATGGGAATTGGTTGGTCGTGTTGGACAACAGCAACCTAACATTCTCCGTGTCTCCCTCGGCGCATGCTTTGCATAATCGGTAAGAACTGTGCTGCAATGCTGCAAAATAGTCCTTGACTGGGCTGTCGGGATGGTACTTTTTGGCACACGCCAGTGCCGTCGTTCCATTGGGCCATGGGCGTAGCCATGGATACGGGTTGTTCTTTTTGGCATCCCCCACCCACATAATGACGGGTGCCGTCACCATGCATGCTCTGGTGAGACACCGCGCCGTATTCAAGTCACAGCTGCTTTCCATGTTACACAAATCATCCAATGGTATTCGTCCTGGAGGTGACAGCGACCATGGATTGGCCCCATGGTGTAGTAAGGTTTGTATGACATGGACGTGTCCCTTGACGGCCGCAAAATGAAGTGCCGTTTCACCCCCCATGGCATCTGGTATGTTACAGGGAATCCCTGATTGGAGTAGACATTTAACGAGTGGAACATCTCCCTTGTATGCGGCATGGAGAAATGACACCCTCGTTGCGGGAGGATAATGTTCCCATTTGTCGTTTTCCATTTGGCGCCGCAGATCCGTCAAGCTCTGTCGTTTTTTGGGAGTAGTATACTTCTTTTTCCCATCACCATTCTGCTTTCGGTCGTCATCGTCGTCTTGATTGTTATTTTCATGATGAGGATCATGGCAATCATCATGTTCCTCTTCGAGCAATAACAATTCTGGTTGTATTTGTAGATTGCGACAGACAGCTTGTCGTATGGAATCGTTGGCGACTCGTTTCAAGCGCAATGCCACCTTGTGCACGAACTGGCGTTCATGATGACGGGCCAGTGTTTTTCCAGAATGAATAATCCCCTTGCCGGCAGTCCATCCACAGTCATTGTGCAGTACATGTTCATGCGCGTCTCCAATGAGACGAGCACTTTGGTGCGCCGTGGCATCGGTTTTGGGGTGATCCCCACAATCCGTGAGACAATAGAGGCAGAGGGCCCTCCCGCAATGTTCACACCAGGCGGCATCGCAGCCACGATTTTCTGGAATGGCAATTTTGTACTTGCAGGAAGGGCACTGTAACAGCCGCTGTTCCTCTAGATCTTGAGTAATGCGGCGGATAGTAACCACATCCTCGTCGTCGTCAGTACGTACATCATTGTGATGACTATTGTTGCCGTCGTTGTCATCCTTGGAGGATGTATTGGCATGTTGAAGAATAGTCAATGCCTTGACGAGTATTTCTGGTGCAATTTTGGTCAAGGCTTGTTCCAATGACAGGCATCCGTTGGGCAACAAAGTGTTGTGATGATTGTTGCTATCGTTCGTGATGACGACCATGTCCGATCGACAGTGTTCGCAAGCTTGTCCGAACAACCCTCTTTGGAAACCTTGGTGAGCTTGTCCCAAACCAGAATAGATTCCCCATTGGAATTTGACAAAATGTTCCCAGCAGTCTGGCGTGCAATAATAGGTTGGCTTCTCACAACGGCATTTCGGATTGGCGCAAGCCAGAGCTACATATTCGGAGCACCTGGGAATGTCTTGATCTTTCGGTTGTTCTTGTTGTTCATCATTGTCCCATGAACCCAAGGCAATAGAACAGACGGAGCAGCAAGGATCTTGCCTCTTCTTCTCGTCATTATTCGTCTCATCATCTCCGTTCTCATCTCCCTCATGTACCATCCTCAACTAATTCAAGGGGTCCTTGTTGGCAGCGCTCTTCTGCTCTCTCGTGTGGTGTTGTCTTCCAACGGAGCGAAAGATCCAACTCTAACCCTATCACTGAATTCCTCGACACTTTACCCAAAACGCAACGGCGAAATGCCACAACGCCACAAGTGTTACGGTGCAATGGGATGATCCTGACGCCCTGCCAAGGCGACGACGTCAGGTGCAAATCTATAGATGGGGCGCCCGAGCCGTCAATGGGACTCGCATAGCATGTATGATCTGCAACCACTTCACCCGCAGCAGCAGCATTCAGTCGCAGTCCCAACTAGCTACTTGAGGGCATCTGCTGAGTAGCTACTTGAGGGTAGCTATCTGCTGCGCAAACCTCCGCCCCATGACGCGGGTGCTGACTTCGGCGGGTAAGAGCACTGGTGTATCCTTGTTGGCCGTACCGTATCGTCATACATTGAGCAAGACCCATAATGATGTTCTTCGTGCAGACCCGCATCTCTATTGCCCTTGTGAAAGCTACCCATTTTTGGCTCCGTGGATCCCGCAAAGCAGGAAAGAGCTCCTCTTCTAGGTAATACTTATAGAGAGTTTAGAGTGGGGAAATTTTTAAAAGGGGGAAACGAGCATTGTCTACTTTTGATTCAATTCCTTTAGAAGCTAACCTTCCCTCATTACAGCAATGCAACTCCTTTAGACCCAGGGCATCCATTGTCCTGTAGCCACTGGATCACTTCAGCACATTGGGTACCGGTATACAGGAAGGCAGCTTCATATGTCCATTCATTCCATGGACAACCATTTTCACGAGCCCACTTCAACATTTCCAAGTCTCCGTTTTCAGCAGCCATTGCACATGTATCTGCATACAATGGACAACCGTTTTCATATGCCCATTTTAGAATATCCAAATGTCCATGTCTGGCAGCAGCCTTGCATGTTGGATGCATCCCATGGACAACAGTTCAAGCCACTTGAGCACATCAAGGAAACCGCTCGAGCAGCTTCTGCACATGTCCTTCATTCCATGGACAACCATTATCACGAGCCCACTTTACAACTCCCAATGTCCACCTTCCGCAGCAGAGGCACATGTCCATCCATCCATGGACAGCCTTTTCAAAGCCCACTTTAAAATTTCCAAATGTCCATGTTTGGCAGCAGCACTGCATGTTGACACATCCCATGGACAACCATTTTCACGAGCCCACTTCAACATTTCCAAGTCCCTTTTCAGCAGCAGCCAGCCTTGCATGTTGACGCACTCCACGGACAGCCATTTTCATGAGCCCACTTTAAGATATTGAAATGTCCATTTTCAGCAGCAGCCTTGCATGTTGATGCATGCCATGGACACCCATTGTCATGTGCCCACTTTAGAATATCCAAATGTCCATTTTTGGCAGCACGCTCGCATGTGTCTGAATCCCATTCACAACCATTTGCACGAGCCCACTTTAGAAGTTCCAAATGTCCATTTTGAGCAGCAACCCAGCTTGTTGTTATACTCCATGGACAACCATTCTGTCTTAACCAAATCAGAATCTCCAAATGTCCATTTTTAGCAGCATGATAGCATGTTTTACCGTTCTTCCAAGGCAAGCTTTGTTGTTGTGCCCACTGCATGAAAGCAAGATTTCCAACTGCGGCAATTGCAGCGCAAGCATAATCGTGATCGGGTGTTATGGTTCCACTATATTTGTCCGTCCGCCAGTATTCTGCACGTGGCTGGTTACAGAATGTTTCCCTATTAAGAGTGTCGGTGATTTCTGCAGAGCGACGGTGCGAATACACGTATCGTCCAGGGTTATCCTGTACCATTCTAGGATGTTTCTTTAGTTCAATTGTGCAGTACTCTTTATAGAGTTGGTTCATCTTCTTGTTGACAGCTCCTACAAAAGCGTACTGACCAACGCCAACCAAAGGCAGAATGCCTTGGATCCAAATCGCATCATTATCCAACAGAAGAGAATCAACACTGCGATTTCCCCTGGCAGCAGCAGCAGGGCTAGTACTATCAGAAGACATGTTCAACAATGAGATACTGCCGAAGTTGGTCGCTACCAAGCTAGCTAGAGGGGAGTCGGGGGGAAACGTGGGAACAGGTCGTGTGGTTTGGGAGAACGAAGGACTCGATTCGATTCGATTCGATCAATCGAATCCGCCGCTGTTCTCCGAATACATGTCAGAAGCATTATGAGTAAGACCCCTTTCGCTCATTAGCATAAGTCTCCAATCCGGAGCATCTGATCCAAGTCCGTTGGAAATGTGACTGAAACCTTGCGCGGTCCCTTCAGCCATCGGATGCAAGTCTCTGTGAAGCCTCTCTTTGCTCTTTTTCTTTCATTACATCAAAACACTCCAGCCACCATGGCACTCACTCCTCCTCACCCTTCCTCCTCACCGTCCCCGGCCAGAGCAGCCACCACCGCCAACAACCATAATGGCGGCATGAGTTTACCATCTACCCTGCGAGGGGCTCTGATCATGACCATGTTTGTAGTGGTGATTATCCAACTGCATCTTTCGTTGGACAAGTTTTATTCGCAATCGTCCTTGCCCTGTCCCACCGGATTGGAAGGCTTTCATGCTCCATTGGTCGTCTTGAGCAATGCCAGTATTACTACCGAAGCGGCAATACGATTACGCAACAGCAAGGAGTTTTCTCGCGATTGGAATGTTCCCACGCCACTAGAACAGAATGGGAGGCATCAAACAGGGTCCAAGTTATTGCCAGAGATTAATGCCCAAGGCATGATTATATTCTACTTGTGAGTACAGTCAGTAAGCGTCGGATTATGTATTGACTATATATTTGATCGTTATTACAACCTATATCTGGAACTAACACTTTGTTATTATTACTATTATCATACAGACACATTCCCAAAACTGGCGGGACGACCATCATGGAACCCTTTGAGAAAAATCCTCATTGGAGGTATCGCATGGTCTATGGCTGGAACAAACAGGACAAGTATCGTCAAGAAATGTACCAAACATTGGAAGATTGGAAGCCAGGAATGAAAATCTTTTACGAATATCATGCTGGATTGAGTTCGCCCTACATGGATTTGACTGTTCGAGAAGGTGTGTGTTTCTTTTTACTTCAATTATCACGATGTCCAAAATGGATATTGTTATCCATAGTATGCAAGGGCAGATGCTCACAGTATTGCGTTTTTTCTGTCAAAAGATCTCTTGAAATGGCGTGCCATGGCCCAAGTCCGCAAAATCCCCTTCTTTGCGTTCACCGTAATTCGCGAACCACTCTCCTTTGCCGTTTCTCATTTCAATTACTACTATGCCTCGCGCAAAAAGGGAGACATGCGATACTTTTTTGTCCCGAATCCCACCGAAGACGACTTTATCCGATTGACATTACCCAATCCACAATGCCTCTTTTGCGTTCACACCGAAGAAGCCTACTATCAAAGCTATCGCGAACAGGGAAAACCCATTGACGTACCCAAAGAAGGATGTGAAGCCGTCTACGAATCCTTCGCCACCGAACTCGATTGGGTCGGAACCACCGAAGGACTCTCCATGGAAACATTTCCCCTTATCGAACATGTCGCCCACGTACGATTCCATCGATCCAAAGTCAAGAATAAAAGTCACGACAAAATTGTCAAGAATCAACTCTTGAATTCCACCGTGGCATACGTCCGATCCATTACTCAGTACGATATGGACATGTACCAGCGAGCCCAAACCGATTTCCCCATTACCATGTGGGCCAATTTTGAAGGACCGCACAAAACACGACCACCACACAATCACACCAATCTACACATGGCACACTTTGATACACCCGATTTATTGGGACAAGCAACACGCAAACGAGAACGGGAAGAAAAGTTGCGAATGAAAAAAGAAAAGAAACAAAAGAAGAAACAAGTAGTGGCACAAGAGTAGTAGGGTGCACTCTTTCAGAAATACAAAGCTCGCTTCCATGGGACAGGGCAAGTGGTTGCACGTGATGAGTCATGTTTTGAAACGGATCAGCGCCGCCTTTGGGGGTCTCCGTCGGTTCCAAAAGAACCATCGTGAATGACACGAACAAATGCATGATTGGCATTGGATGGAAACAGTAGAAGTCCACGTGCTCGCTCACCAGTGCATGTTCGTAATGATATTCAATAACTCTATTACTAGTAATCTACGAGTGTACAGCGTCGATCGATCCAGCTATGCACTTCCATTCACACACACACTGAAAGAAAGCTCACGGGCCAATGTGTCGTTTTGAGACTTGGGTTCTCAAGGTCGCGTTGCAGGAAACGGAAGATCCACCGCCCATCCAGACAAGGAGAAGTAGACTTTTCGCTACTCTTCTTCTTGCGGTTAATTGTTGCTCATCATCTCCTGGTGCTGGCTCAAGGCCCGCCAGAAACCCAAGGACCATGCGAGGAAAGTCGCGGCTAGCAGATCTTCGTCCTCCCTTGCAAGGGGGTCACGCGTGCGCCCCCAATAACGTCCAAGCATCAATTATTTCGTAGACATCCACTTTACAACTATCCAGTGATTCCATTCAGGGTTCAGTTTGGTTCCCCTCAGTTTGGTTTGCCTCCAGTATCGGTGATGTTCTATTGTCAGAACAGTTACACCAGTCACACCCACAGAGCTGGCTGCTGCAGTCAAAAACAAGGTCGTTGGCAGAACACAAGCTCTCAGGGATAATGCCAGAAAGATCATTTCCATGCAACCAGGCTTCACCGTAAGGTGCAGGGAAAGGAACATTGCCAAGCTCCAAGGGCACTGTTCCAGTCAAATCATTGTCGTGTAGCCACAACTGAAACAAACCAGTAAGCAGACCAAGCTCTGTAGGAAGGGCTCCTGTCAGGTTATTGCCACCCATGGTCAACACATACACTTGCTCGTACTTTCCAAATTCACGTGGAATTGTGCCAGACAAAGCATTAAAATCAAGCCACAAGGCAGACAACTTTGTAAGCAGGCCAAGTTCTGTTGGGATCTAGACGAAAAAGATCAAACAATGGACTCAATGATGTTAGAAGAGGAAGAAACTTGACCCAAATGGCACAAAAAGACTTACAGTCCCTGTAAAGGAGTTGTATGACAGTAGCAACGTGTCCAGGATTGTCATATTCCCAAGCCACCTGGGGATTGTCCCGGTAAGACCTGAGGCATCCAGTTGCAAAGTTTCCATGTCTGTAAGAAGTGTAAGCTCAACTGGGATCTAAAGGATTCATGGAGAACATTGAGCACAGCTGGGACACATGGAACTAAACAACCACCACATCGCCTACGCATCACCGCAAACACTTACCGTGCCACTCAACATCAGGTTGGGAAGATCTAAATATTTCAAAAGAGTCAATCGCCCAAGCTCTGTGGGGATGGTCCCCGTGAAGAAGTTTGCATCAAACCATATACCCAGCAAACTAGTCAACAAACCCAGCTCTGTTGGTATCTATTGTATGCAAGATGAAAAACAGGTAATGAGAATGTCACAACTGTACAAGCATTCGGAAAAGAAAAGACTCATAATGTACGCACTGGTCCTGTCAGCTGACTTTCTGATAGAGCAATGGCTCTCATGGAGTTTGTCAGGGAAAACAGGGATGATGGAATCTGGGAACCATAGATGTAGAAAGTCAAAAATTTGACAAAATGAGACATTGCAGAACTATCTTGCCCCGTACTTCATAGGTCATCACTTACAGTTCCCGTCAAAGAGTTGAAGGGAAAGTAGATAACTCCAAGTTTTGACAATCTTCCGAGTGCTTCAGGAATGGAGCCATAAAGGCCGCATCCCAACATCGAAATATACTCCAAATTGGAAAGGCCAGAGAGCTCTTCTGGGATGGTGATGGTGAGGTTCAATCCATCCAATGCCAAGCTTCTAAGTTCAGTAAGCAAATAGAGCTCTGGTGGAATCCCTGATCCCACCAGGTTATTCAACGACAACCAAAAGTGCTTGATGATTCCATCTCCCTGATACAAGGTGCCATCCTCCAGATATCCAGCTGGATCTTGCTCACAGGGACTGATGTGATCCAGTGGGAAAAATGTGTCGGCCTCAAACACAAAATAATAATTCTCCAAACCTGAATACCAAAGGCACTCATGAACACTGTGGTTCAGCCAATTGTCACTGAAGAGCCATTGTTCTTTGCTGTTGGCAAAATAGAATGTTGCAAGTGTGAAACGTTGTACTACTCTCTGATCTGTATGGTTGTGCAGAACATCCATCTCTCCCACCAGCCATTCAAATGCCCTTGACTGGGGCGATCCTGGGTGCTCCAGAATTGCAGCGATTGTTGTTTCTGGGAAAAGTGACAGCCAGTATTCTAAATAAGATGATGGTCCCTGGGATGGGTTGTTGCTGGGCGGCTCACTAGGTGCGGTTGCTGGGACAAGATCTGCATTACCATCTTGACTTTGAGGACTCAGGATGGCTACCAAAATGAGAATGATGGCCAACAAGACAAGGACTCCCAAGAGGACCTTGGTTTTGAATTGCTTCATTCTTGTTTCTCTGCTTCTGTTCTCGTTTTCCAGATTGTAGTCTTCAGCCTGGGGAAGATCCTGAAAGGTTGTATCATCTTCAACCAAGTTTGCCACTGCCAAATTTTCTGGTGCGATCATAGATGGTCGGGTAGTCACTGCTTCACTGTGTGTCACTGATGTTTCCAGATTTCCTCTATTCCTTGAAAATTTCCTCCGCTTGGGTAGGCTCCTGGTTGTGATTGGGGTCTTCTTCTGTTGGCAGAACTCCGTTCCAGTCGAGGCAAATGCAAAATTTCATGACTGCCATCACTTTGAACTGTATCGACCGGAACTACATTGGTGTCGCTGAGTCCAATTCTGTTGGCCTCACCAGTAGTAGTAGTGCTTGAATTATTGCTCACTTTTTGTTCCAGGTGGCGGTTCTGCTGCTCAATAATGGTGCCTACAGCAGCTGTTGATGGAGAATTGCCCCCTTCTTGAGTGGTAATGTTTTCACATTGACCTGAATCTTGGAGCCGATCCTCCACTATTTTTGCCAGATCAAGGGAAGATATAGACTCTTTATGGGATCTATGTGTCCCTGTCATGGCTGAAGCAGCCTGTGGAACTGCGGTTGTTGGATTAAGATTTGTTGTGCACTCTTGCTCTGCCGGACTGGCGCCCGAATCTCTTAGCCGTGCTTCCACAATTTTAGCTAGGTCCAGAGGATCCAATCCTTCTTCCATATTTTGAGGGAATGTCTCACTACTATTTGAATTTTCCTTGGATGATGCTCTTGCTTCTTGATCAAAAGATAGTAGCTTTTGACGTTCAGCATCACCAGCATCACCAGCTCCACAAGCAGCGTCACCAGCAGCACTTATCCTGGCAGCCTTTTCGATAACGCCGAATTCTTCGGAAAGTGCTTCTGCCTTGTCATTATTAAGATTTCGAGGTGTGCTGTCTGTTGATGCTTCTGTATGCCTTGTTGGCGGAGGTTGCGTTTGGCTTTCTTCTTCTGCCGCATCCATAATACCAGCCACATCAGGGCCAGTACTATCAATTGGCATCGGCAGCACAGCTGATTGGCGATCATCATCAGTACGCTTGGTCGACTGCATGGTTAAGGTTTTGATACCAGTATTATAGCTGCCACCACTCCACTTGTACCATCAATTGCTTTTTAGAAAGACTCGAGTGCATGCATATTTATGCTCTGGATCCGAGGCTCTGAACGCTCAACTTGTACAGCCGTACGGTAGTCCAAAGTGAAGATCTGGTGGCTCTGGACACTCAACCTGGTATCTCCAGGTGGACCCAAAGACTGCCGAGGTCAAAACGACTGTACGTGTACCAGGTATTAGTGGTCGTCGATGCTCTGAAACATTCTTCCGAGGACGCGCTGAAACACAAGAAGTACTGTAGGATTTATAGTAGGAACAGGAGAGAATTCTAAAGGTCCTGTCGTGGCTTCCTTCCTGTCGTGGCTTCCTTCCTGTGGTGGCTTCCTTCCTGTCGTGGCTTTTTGGCTTTTCTTGATGTGTGATGAAGAGAGATAGACCACAATAAAAGGAAAGACAAAAAGTTGTACTGATAGAAAGATTAACTTGTTAAAGGATGTGGTTGGATACTCGTCTTGCACCTGATGTTTCCACGAAAGTCCATGGTCTTATCTCTCGCAAGTTGCTGCGCGATTTCATCCATTTGTATCTCTGTCAGGACTATCTCGTTGATTTCCTTTATATTGGCAGCTGTTAATTTGAACCCATCATTCATCACTATCGTCGTCCTCGCTGTCGTCATCTTCTGAATCGTCTTCTTCTTCACCTGACTCATCCTCATCATCATCGTCATTCTCGCGACCTCCAGGATTGTTGTTGCTGTTGTTGTCGCTTTCGTTGCCATTTGTGCCGCCGTCACCGTCTTCGGATCCTCCACTGAAAAACCCACCACTGTCCGACGCATCGCTCTCGTTGTTCTGGTCATGACTCTTCTTCTTGCCCGCGGGCTTCTCATGAGAGTCTCCGGATTCGCTGCCTTCAGAACTGCCGGCATCCTGCACTTCCCCCACTGCAGTCCCGAGTCCTACCATCTTGCCATCAACATAAATAGGTACTTCTTCAAACACTTTCAACACTCCGCAGCTGACTCCTCCATGCTTCTCTATGTCGTAGAAATTCATTGAAAGGCACACCCCCTTTCTCGTGTTGCTTTTGGGAAGCTTCAGTTTCATCTCGGGTGACGTCTTCCAGATCGTCCTTCCACAA